CCTGGCCACCTCCTGTCTGCAGACCCGCAGAGAGCGCATCTGAGGGCCCCGCATGCACCCATGGGGAAGACGAGACCGAGGACCTCCTCCCCAGGGAGAGATGGAGGCCGCGCGGCTCTTTGAAGACTCCGGGTCGGCGCCGTACCATATTTAAATGCTGTTTTGACTCACGCTCCTATTAAGCTACTTAATAGCCACCTAATGCGTCCCGTATTTTTATTCTTGTTTTGAAGCTAATTGCATATCATGGGAAGATACCAGAAATGTTGCAAACCCTCCCATCAGTCCGGAGTGGCCCCTTCTCCGTCGGCGGTACTCCGCCCGCTCCCACCGTGACCTCTGCTGCTCTGGCCTGGACTGCATGTGCGCCCATGTGCGTGTGGGTGCGTGTGTGTGGGCTGGGGGACATCAGCGCTGTTTGGGTTTCTCCTTAGAGCGTCTTCTCGCCTTAGTTTGTGCTGAATACACACACACACACACTCTCACACACCCACACACACACTCACACGCACACTCACACACTTTCACACTCACACACACACTTTCATATACTCACAGTCACACACACACATGCACACATGCTCACACACACACATTCACGCATGCGCACATACTCACACACACTCACGCACTCACTCACATGCACACACACACTTTCAGTCACACACTTTCACACACACACCCACGTGCACACACTCACACACACACTCAGACTCACACTCACATGCACACACACGCACGCATACTCACACACATGCACACACACTCATGCACACACAGTCACACACACATGTACACACCCACGTGCACACACTTACACACGTGCACACACACTCACACACACACACACACATACACACCCCAGCCTCAGTACCCAAGCCGGTGCCTTGGTTTGATGGCTTTGGTCCTAGCTCCTCTGTGGCTCACCACCATGCAGATCAAATCAGCTTCAGGTCTGGCTTGACCCAGGGGCTCAAATTATGACCTCAGGAATTAGCTTAACTCTGTTCTCTGGGCAGTGAGCTGCATGTAGTGGCCCTGGCAGTCCCCTCAGAGGGGAGAGAGCGTCTCACCCACAATAGTTCTTTTTTATTTTATTTTTTGGCCACACCAAGTGGCCTGTGGGATCCTAGTTCCCCAACCAGGGGTGGAACCTGTGCCCCCTGCTTTAGAAGCACACACGCAAACAAGTGTGTGGTCTTAACCAGTGGGCCGCCAGGAAAGTCCCTCTTCCACAATAGTTGTGTTGTAAGTCCTGGCATGGGTTTTGGACCCAGGTCACATGTTCATCCTCAGACAGGTTACTGAAGCAGCAGCAGTGAGATCTGTTGACTGGAGAGGTCTAGAGCATTTGCTCACTTTGTGGTTATTCTGGTATTATAGAGGGTGAACTTCACCTAAACCACATGGACTAGGAAAGGCCGGGTGCTTGGGTGAGGGCCTTCAAGATAAAATAAAAGAGGTATTATTGGCATCAGATGAGGAGGCAGAGGGCAGGCAGGAAACGTAGTCACCCCGTGTCCCCCACCCCACCCAGGGCAGGGGATACCCTGGGATCTGAGGGACGTGGTCACCCCACACCGAGTGGAAAACCCACTCAGAACACTGAGGACCAGACTTGCATCCGGGGCTCCGGGGCCTGGCGCCAAGAGAGGATGGGGACAGGGTCTGAGGTCGGCAGAGGCTGTCCTGCCAGGGCTGCTGGCCTGGTGCGCTGAGGTGCCCAGGGGATGGGTCGGCACGGAGTCCAGACACGGACAGGAGTGAGCACCTCCGGGGAATCCTCCGGGGAGCTTGTTAGAAATACAGCATCTCGGGGCCCACCCCAGACCTCCGGTATCACAGGTGAGTTATTATCAGGCCTCCAGGCGATCGATGTGCACAGCTGGGCTACAGACCCATCTCTTGGGTCACCCTGGTGGCCCAGCGGTTAACGACCGCCCTGCAGGGCGGGGCGCGCGGGTCCCGTCCTCGGCCGGGGAACCAGGGCTGCACATGTTGAGGGGCAGCTAAGCCCGTGTGTGCTCGGACATGAAAGATCCCGAGTTCCGCAGCTAAGACCCGACACAGCCAAATACATAAATGTTAAAAAAAGCCCAAAACCTCATTCTTGTCTCGGCCTCCCCATTCAGGGGTGACGGGCCTTAGGTTAGGTCTTCTGGAGTGCAGTGTGGCCGGGCGTGTGAAGCAGCCTTAAACATATCCATGCTCTGTGATGGAGTCAGTATCGCTACTCCAGAGACGTTACTGAACAAAGTCACCGGAGGCAGGGACAGAGGATGCTCCACCCCAAGGTCATAAGAAACTGTCATGAACAATTGCACACCAATAAATCAAACCTAGAAGAAATGGACAAATTCCTAGAAACATACAACCTACCTTGGTGGGTTCAAGAAGAAATAGAAAGCTTGAACAGGATGACAATAAATATGGAGGTTGAAACAGTTGAATCAGTAACCAGATACCTCCCAACAAAGAAAAACCCAGGACCAGATGTCTTTGCGAGTGAAATCTACCAAACATTTAAAGAAGAGTTGATATCAATCATTACTTAAACTCTTCCAAAACACAGAAGCAACGCTTTTTGAACTACTTTCACAAAGCCAGCATTACTCTGATACTAAAGCCAGACAAAAAGAATTAGAAATCAAGCAACCATAGGATCCGGCAATCCCAGTTCTGAGTATGTACACAAGAGAACTAAAGTCAGGGTCTCAAGGTGGTATCTCCACCCCCATGTTCATTGCAGCAATGTTCACAGTAGCCAAGACACAGAAGCAAGACACAGTCCGCTGACTGATGAATGGGTGGGGGAAGCATGGTACATACGGGCAACGGACTACTCGTCAGCCTTCAAAAAGGAAATCCAGTCATGTCACAGCATCAATAAACCTGGAGGATGTGATGCACGGTGGAATGTCAGAAGAACAAATTCTACATAATGACATTTATGTGAGGAACCTACAATAGTCAGACTCCGGCTTCCCTGTGGCTCAGTGGTAAAGAATCCACCTGCCAGTGCAGGAGAAACAGATTCGATCCCTGGTCCGGGAAGATCCCACATGCCGCGGAGCAGCTAAGCCTGCGCGCCACAACTCCTAAACCTGCGCTCTGGAGCCCGAGAGCCACAGCTGCCGAGCCCACGTGCTGCCGCTCTGGAAGCCCGTGCGCCCTGGAACCCATGCGCCAGCAAGAGAGGCCGCCGCGGTGAGAAGCCCGCACGCCACAGCTGGAGAGGAGCCCCTGCGCGCCACGACTCGAGAAAGCCCGCGCGGTGAGACCCAGCACTGCCCAGACAAATACAGAGATTAGTGTGAAAGAATGAAATAGACTCATAGGCGAGAGTAAGGGGAGTGGTGGTCGCCAGGGGCTGGGGAGAGGGGGAGATGGAGAGGTGATGGCCGGAGGGGACGAGGCTTCATTCATGCACGAAGAGTGCGTTCCAGAGGTTTGCCCAGCCTGAGACCTGTAGACAGTAATGCCACGTTATATACCTGCAACTTGGCTAAGAGGGTGGGTCTGTTAAGTGCTCGTATCACAAAAAGACAATAAAGAGGGTGGAGGAAGCTTCTGGAGGTGATGGTATCTTTGTGATGATGGTTTTACAGAAGTATTGTTGTTCCGTTGCTCAGTTGTGTCCGACTCTGCGACACCACAGACCGCAGCACGCCAGGACTCACCATCTCCCGGAGTTTGTTCATACTCGTGTCCGTTGAGTCGGTGATGCCATCCAACCATCTCATCCTCTGTCGTCCCCTTCTCCTCTTGCCCTCAGTCTTTCCCAGAATCAAGATCTCTTGATGTGAGTTGGATCTTCGCATCAGGTGGCCAAAGTTTTGAAGCTTCAGCTTCAGCATCCGTCCTTCCAGTGGATATTCAGGGTTAATTTCTTCAGGATTGACTGGTTTTATCTCCTTGCAGTCCAAGGGACTCTCAAGAGTCTTCTCTAGCACCACAGTTCAAAAGCATCAATTCTTCAATGCTCAGCCTTCTTCATGGTCTAACTCTCACATCCGTTCATGACTACTGGAAAAACCGTAGCTTTGTCTATGTGGACCTTTGTCGCAAAGTAATGTCTCTGCTTTTAATCTTATCTCCAGAGTCATTAAGTTGTATACATTAAATACATGCACCTTTTTCTATGTCAATTATACCTCAATATGATAGTTAAAAAAGAAAGAGAGAAGATGAAAAGGAAACTGATCTGGTCTCAGGAGCTGTAGGCCTCATGGACAAGTCCATGGGGACATGTTCATAATTCATATTAAGTGAGCAAAGCTGGCACAGAATGATATAAACTGCATCATTTTAACTATATGAAAATAATGTAAAAAACAGTCTAGAAATAAGCATGCAAATATATTACAGTACCTCCAGGTGGTAGGATTACAGATGATTTTTACTTATGTTAAGCTGTTCTGTATTTCTTTCACATAAGAAAACAATGACTGATGATTTCAGAATCTGAATTTGTATCAATCACAGTGATTAGTTGCAGATGACAGAATTCACTCTTTCTGATTTGAGCAGAGGGGGGACTTATTCCTGGGTGTCAGAACTCAGATTCTAGGACTAGCAGGGCACCCCATCGCCAGGGACAACATGGCCTGGACCGTCGTTTAGCCCCATCTGACCCTGTTGTCATGGAAACCCCACTGTCTGTAATGCCCAAGGCCAGACGCCCCTGTTCTCTGCCAGCCAGGACCCCATCCCTCCACCAGCCTGTATTGTTCACTTCCACTTCTTAAATCTCGTACAGACATCTGTCCAGAGGAACTTAAGCCACCAGCTGAACCCTAGCTGCAAGGGTGTCTGGGAAATGCAGATTTCAGTTTTCCAGAGGCTAACATACCCAGGGTAGGGAAGCAGCGGGTGGTACACATGTTGAATGAGTCGGTCTGCTGGACCCACCACTGAAGTGACACCAGAGGCCAGAACGATCGCTTGTAGCCTTGACCTTCTGAGGTCCACCCGGCGGCTCAGTTACCTGTGGCGGTGTCATGAGGACCGCGGGGCTCTCTCTCAGCCCAGACAGCTCGGGCTACAGAGCCCCTCAGCCCAGCCTCTCGCCGCAGCTGCCAGCACCTCTGTGCATGGGGTCCTTTGCTGAGGCTGGCGACCCGTTGCCTCCCGTGGAGCAGGCTGAAATGTGGAGACTTGCTGTCCCCCGGGAGCAGACTCAGCAGGACCCCAGCAATCGTACCCCTTGGGTGGAGACTCTGCACCAGCACCAAGGGCTCCCTGGTGGACTGATTCCTTTTGCCCACAGTGGGGTCTTCCACAGTGGGAGGCAGGTCGGTCACGGCCACAATTAACCACCTTCTGTTCCTCTTCTCACTTCCCTGCCCGCTAGCCTTCACCTCCCAAGCAAACCTCTGGGGCCAGAAGAATCCTCATCTCCAGGTGTGTCTTCAGCATCCCAGTCTAAGGCCTCTCTGACCTGCCTTAGTGCACACGTGACGCCTCATCCCGGCTCTGGACTATCTGCTGGGGAGTCCCCTGGGGGTGGCTTAGGGGGTCTGAGACCACTTCTGTGACCTTGCCTCCGTGCGCGCCAGTTTGGGCAGTCATCCTCTCCCTGGATCCCATGCCCGTGGGCGGGCAACCAGAGGGCTCTGGGGTGCTCCCGCCGTCTGCTGCCCAGTCCACACGGGCGCCACAACCACACTCACACATGGGCATCATCCGCCCAGTGGCCACCCCCTTTCTGCTCCTCCTCCCTGTGGCGGGCATTGCTCCTTCTGTCCTAGGCTGTCCACAGTATGCCGTGGGGTTCAAGGGTACCCTTTGAGCGCGCCGCCCTTTGTGTCAGTGTGATGTTGCCGGGCGTGGCTGTTAGCGCGTGAGGCTTGGGCCAGCTCCATCGTGGCTCCTCACAGAGCAGCCTGGAGCACGCTCGCTGGGCCCCGGGCAGGGGGACGCCCTGTCTTCTGTGGACGTCACCCTTCCCTCTGCACGTGGCAGGGAGCTCCCGGCAGTTTACTGACCAGCTCCTTGGACTGGGCATCAGGCTTCCTCACCAGCCACGCTTTGGGCTTCCTGAGAACAGCTTGAAGGGTCTCCAGCCGACAGAGGGCTGCTCTGAGGTCGCCGCAAACCCTGGGGCAGGCAGAGTGCGCAAGGGCTGTCCCCGTCGTCAGCCGGGATCCGGGCGGCGTGGCCGCGCCGCTGATGCCCACTTGGAAGGGAGTCCTGCATCCTTCAGATGGGGCAGCTGCGGCCTGGGACCCGCCTGCCGTCTTATCGCGTCCACTAAGAGCAAGTGACGAGCGGGGTGCCCAGGCGCCTCGGCCGCTGACAGAGGGTCTGACTTTGAGAAGCGAATCGGGGGCTCTGTCCCCCTCAGGGCTGCTCCCGCTGCTCTAAGCGCTCAGGAAGGTCCAAGGATTTTGGAAGCTTTGAGCCGGCAATGCCGGTGAAGACCAGTTGCAAATAAGAAATGTATTTTATGTAACAGGGGCAGGGCAGGTGGTGGATCATCAAAAAAGCAAGAGAGTTCCAAAAAAAAATCTACTTCTGCTTTATTGACTATGCCAAAGCCTTTAACTGTGTGGATCACAACAAACTGTGGAAAATTCGTAAGGAGATGGGAATATCAGACCACCTGACCTGCCTCCTGAGAAATCTGTATGCAGGTCAGGAAGCAACAGTTAGAACTGGACATGAAACAACAGACTGGTTCCAAATCAGGAAAGGCGTATGTCGAGGCTGTATATTGTCACCCTGCTTATTTAACTTATATGCAGAGTACATCATGAGAAACGCTGGGCTGGAAGAAGCACAGGCTGGAATCAAGATTGCCAGGAGAAATATCAATAACCTCAGATACGCAGATGACACCACCCTTATGGCATAAAGTGAAGAGGAACTAAAAAGCCTCTTGATGAAAGTGAAAGAGGAGAGTGAAAAAGTTGGCTTAAAACTCAACATTCAGAAAACTAATCATGGCAAATAGATGGGCAAAATAGTGGAAACAGTAGCTGACTTTATTTTCTGGGCTCCAAAATCACTGCAGATGGTGATTGTAGCCATGAAATAAAAAGATGCTTACTCCTTGGAAGGAAAGTTATGACCAACCTAGACAGCATATTAAAAAGCAGAGACATTATTTTGCCAACAAAGGTCCATCTAGTCAAAGCTATGGTTTTTCCAGTAGTCATGTATGGACGTGAGAGTTGGACTATAAAGAAAGCTGAGCGCAGAATTGATGCTTTTGAACTGTGGTGTTGCAGAAGACTCTTGAGAGTCCCTTGGACTGCAAAGAGATCCAACCAGTCCATCCTAAAAGAGATCAGTCCTGGGTGTTCATTGGAAGGACTGATGTTGAAGCTGAAACGCCAATACTTTGGCCACCTGATGTGAAGAGCTGACTGATTAGAAAAGACCCTGATGATGGTAAAGACTGAGGGCAGGAGAAGGGGACGACAGAGGATGAGAGGAGTCAGATGGCATCACCGACTCAGTGGCCATGCGTTTGAGTAAACTCCGGGAGTTGGTGATGGACAGGGAGGCCTGGCGTGCTGCAGTTCATGGGGTCACAGGGTTGGACACGACTGGGTGACTGAACTGAAGGTGCAGGGAGCAGGGCAGCAGACACAGTGATCGGAGACGTTCCCGCGGACGGTTCAGCAGTTAGAGGCCAGCCAGCGGCTGGGCAGTGAGTGGGCCCTCGCGGGGGAGAGGGTGGTGTGAGGCGTATGGCGGCCTTCTCCCCGGGGCCCTCGGCCTCTGGGACCCTCCGCCCCTCGTGGGCGCAGCTGGGACGTGCCGGCCCCTCCAGGCTGCTGGAGCGGTCTGGGACAACCCGCCTCAGGGCCCGGCCAGGGGCTTGGCGCAGGGCGGCCTGAGGAAGGAGTGTGTCGGCTTTGGTGGCACCCGAGATTTGCTGGAACGTGGTAGGCGTCGCTCTCGGACACTGCCCTGCGCTGGCCGACCGGCCGTCAGTGAGGTTGCCAGGCCCCCAGGACGACATCGTCAGCGGTGCCACAGAGGGCAGGGGCGCAGGCTGGTGTCCTGAGGTCAGCAAAGCTGCCCCCTGGCTTCCGTGCCCGGGAGGCCGGGCAGCCTGTCTGCGCGGTGGCTGAAAAGGCCGTTGGCCAAGAGGAAAGTCGTCTGACTTTGGGCTGAGTGTGTTCGTCTTGCTCAGGCACACTGGCAGTGAAATCCGATTTGTGATGCTCGGGGATTAGAATCCCCAGGGGGCTTGCTGGCAGCCCTGCGCTCCCGCAGACCCAGGAAGCCCACCGGCCTCTTGAGCCCTGAGCTGTGTGCGGTTTAATCCCAACATCCCTTTCCTGTGGTTTATAGAGCGGAAGGCATTGCTGTTGATGGATGCCCGGGCATTTCTCAGTCTCCATGAAAGTTCAAGTGCGCGTGATACGATCTAATTGTCCGGTTTCTTGACATTCAGGCTTGTCTCCTTTGTAAAGCAGTGGAATTGATTTCTGGGTACTGGGAAATAGAGCTGGGAGTGGGGAGACACGCCGCAAATACCAAGTAAGGGCCGCGAGGCGGGTGCCGCGCCCACGCGCGTTCGTTCGCCAGTGGTCGGGGCTGCAGCCTCAGTTCTGGAGCCGTAGCCCACCCCCCAACGCTAGGCTTGGTCCCTGCCTCCTACAAAAACAATTCCAGTCCAAGTGATGGCATGACGGGGGCGGGATAGGAGCCCCAAAGTGTTCAGGGGTGGCCCTGGGGCTGGGCCGGGGCAGTCTGCGAGGCTGGAGCGGGGGTCCTGGGTGGGGGACCCCCGGGCCCCACGTCCAGGGTGCTCGTGTGGGTCCCCTGCTCCGCAGTCCGCATTCTGAGTGTCTGCTCTCTCCCGTTGCAGGTCAGAAGGAGAAAGCTCCCGCAGCATCAGGTATGTGTGTCGTCGGCCTCTGTCTGTGCGTCTGTCCGTCTGTCCGTCTGTCCTGGGCAGGCGGCATCGGTGAAACCATGTGCTTCTCCCTCTCTCTGGCACGGTCTGGGTACCATGGCCGCAGTGTGCTGGCTCGGCGTCCTGGAGTGAGAGCGCCGTTTACTGCCAGGGCTTTCCTGGTCCCAGCGGGACCTTCTCAGAGGCCCCCTGGCCTGCTGGTGGCTCCTTCCCATCGGGGCTCATGGTGGCCAGGTTCGCCTGGGCTGTGACCTGCGTAGGACCAGCAGCTTCTCAGCTCAGACAGCCCCTGGGGCCAGGCTGGTGCGTGGGGCCAGTCTCTGGGGAGTCCGGAGGGCCGGGCCCCCGCCGGGGCTGGGGAGTGGAGTTCAAGGCTTGAGATGGGATGGGAGACAGTGGCTGGTGGTGAGCGTGGGGGCGAGGAGACACAGAGGTGGTTGAGAGCCACAGGTCCCCAGGCCCACGCGTGCGGCTGGGACTCAGGTGCCTTCCCGTGACAAAGTGGGTAGAGGAGGTGCTCGTGGGGCTGCAGCTGCGGGTGTCGGGCGGGGCGGGGCCCTCGGGGCAGAGCCAGAGGCGGAGGTGAAGGTGCCTGCGTCCTGGGGAGGCTCCCTGGAGTCAGAAGCCCCTGCACTAGGCCACGGCTTAGCCCAGGAGGTGCCGGCTGGGTCCTGAGCCCAGGAGCCAGAGCAGGGGCCGCAGAGGGGGCTGGGGCTGATGGTCCCGAGGCAGACAGAAAGCAGAGGCACCCTCAAGGGGCCTGAACAGAGCATCACTCGAGGAAGAAGGATGGGTCACCCCAGGCCTGAGGGGCTGGAGGCGATGCCCTGTGAGACAGTGTCCGGGAGATGCAGGCGGCCTGGTTGGGTGTTTTGGGACCTCCTGGTGTCCGTGAGAGCCGCCTGCAGCTCTGAGAGGGGTGTTCACTGGCTGCTGGTGAGGAGGAGGCCCGGGGTGCTGTCCGCGGACAGAGCAGGTGCCAGAGAGCCTGGACGTCACGTGACATTTCGGGTAAGGAAGTCCGATAGAAGAATGTGGTTTCCTCCTTATAACATTTGCATAAAAAAGCCAGGGCAGGAGACATGGGCAGCTAGTGGGATGCCCCCTCAGGAGGTGGGGCAGGGCGCAGGGCAGGCAGGGAAGGGGGCCCACCAGCCTCCTGAGTCCTGGTGCAGCTGCTGGGCTGTGGACTGGACCCGTGGACCACCTCTCCAGAAAGCTCATTAAAAATCGAGCACCTTCGGCAGGGAGTGAGGGTCCCGGCAGTGGGGGTGTGCAGAGACGTTGGAAGCAGATTGGCAAAGAGAGGGGAGAATGGGGTGCCACCAGCCCCGCCACCAGTGTGGGGTCTGAGAACCTCTCCTGCCCCTGTCTGGCACACTCACCCAGAAGGTGCTGCAGCTGAGATGGGGTGCACGGCGGTCCCCAAGAGACCTGTGGGTTCTTCTGCTGGGGCCTGAAGAGCTCAAGAGCCAGCCTCACCCCCGACCTCCAGCCTCAGCACACTATGGAGGGGTAGGGGGTCAGGAGAGCGGGGTTTGAAGGCCGTGGTGCTGGCAGCAAGCCCGCGGGAGGAGGGTTGTCCGTGCGGGGGAGGTGGGCGCTCGTGTGAGGACGCAGAGCCACATGGCTTGGCTGCCTGGTGGGAACAGGAATGGCGCTGGCACACGGCGGGCGGTGTGGGGAGTGAACATATGTTCCCAGCTCCAGCCAGTCGGTTCTCGGCAGGACGCCTGGAGCGGAGGAGCTGGGCGGGGAGGAACTCGGATGGGCGTGCGGGCAGGGAAGGCTGCGTTTCAGCTCTTCTGTGAGGACCCCAGCCTGGCGGCTCCAGTTTGCGTGGTTCTGCGCACGCCTGGCTCGTGGGTGGAAAGCGTCAGGACGTGAAGCTGCCGGGTTCCTTCCTGGACCAGGCTCCATCCCGCATCTCATCCCGGGGCTCTCGACGCGGGCTTCAGGCCTCTGGCACGCGCCACAGCCGGTGCTGTCTGGCGTGGGCAGAGCACACACACGCGGCCCCCTACTTGTTGAGGCCCGGCGACCCCCGGGCCCCTCAGCTCTGACTCGCGATGGGCCCTCTGATCTCCCCGTGCTCAGGGACTGCCCCGCAGGACAGCTGCAGAGCTGGGTGTCCGGGGAGGCGTGGGCTGGGCTGTCTGCTGTCAGTGCTCCCAGACCCCGTCGGGCAGCCTCCCGGCAGCCCCCCTTCCCCACCAGAAGGGGTGCCCTGAAACCTGGACCCCCTGCTTCTTGCTCCCCGATCCCCGTCGCCGCTCCAGCACCCGCCAGCACCTCCCACCGGTGCGGCCTGGTTTTCCCCTAAGTCCCCCCCGAGCTGCTCCCGCAGTGCGGCGCTCCAGCCTTCTAAATGGGACCACTGACTCCGTGCCCGCCTTCGGCCTGTGGGTGTGACTTGCGCTGTTTCCTCCACCCTCTCCCCGGGGCGAACCTCTGCCCTCTCGGAATCCCCCGCAAGCTGCCGCTGCCCTGAGGCTTTGCGGGGGGCTGAGGCTGACGTGCTGCCCTCCCCTCCTCCCCTTGAAGCTGAAAGTTCAGCCTCTGCACCAGTGTAGAATCGAATCTCGGAGACAAGGGTTTGGGGAGAAGTAGAACAGAAGAGCTTTATTGCTTTGCCAGGCACAGGGGGACGCATTGGGCTCCTGCCCTCGGAAACTGTGTATCCCTACCTGGGAGGGGCGGGTGAGAAGTTTTATAGCAATGGTTTAGGAGCGGGGCTGCTGCAGGGTGTGTGCAGGGCCTACACTCCTTTAACCTGGCCCCGGGGGGCGGCCCTTGAACTTCTCTGGTTCCTTTAATGTGACCTCGGGTGGTCTTCTCTGGTTTGGAGAATGCTGACACCTTCCACTGCTTGGGCTTTAGTTCTGTGAAGAGCTCAGAGAGATTGGTACGTGTATCCCTTGGGACAAACCAGGATCCTGCTCCAAGGCTGCACGGCCGCTTCCTGACCGCCCCGTCCCTGTCCCTGCCTCCCCTCCCTTCCCTGCTGGCAGCTGTCTGAACTGCCCTTGGGAACTCAGGGAAGGTCGTGGAGGCTGCACAGAAAGGCTCCCGTGCCCAGGATGCCCACCAGGTCCTGCTCGGGTTTCATACTTGCCTTCCATGGCTGCCGTGCGCACTTTTCATATCCAGGTTCTTGTTGCTCTGTGTCCTAGCGATGTGAGCCCCTGTCTTACTCACCCGGGCAGAGTTAGGGACCCAGGATGAGGCCTTGGGCAATTCCAGGTGGGGCCAGCACACCCCCAGGCACACAGCAGGCCCCACGGACCTTAGTGGAATGAATTTGCCTTGGTATCACCTGGAGATGCAGCACATCTTGCATAGAACAGGGAAAAACTGTTTGTTCTGTTGGATTCAGGACCCATAAATATTTTCAGACCATGAATATGGAGGAAAAAGAAAAGTGGCCCGTTCACCTTGCTCAGTGACGAATCCTTCTCGTCGCCACATCCACAGCAAACCCTCACTACAGAGAGTCGGCAGAAGGGGCTGCCTTTGATGCCTGGCTACGTGAGGTGTTGATGGATGCTGTGAGCTCTCTGCTAAATGTTAAGGAACTGAATCCAGGGAGAACCCCTGTTCCCCACCCTCCTTGGGGCCCGTTTAGACGCAGACCCTCAGAGGCACCGCCTTTCCGCTTGGATGTCTCAGCCTCGGGAGCAGCCAGCAACTATTTTACCAAGAGAAGCCTGTTTGAGAATTTGCGTGCGCTTCTTTTCCCCGAGGCGAAACATTTACAAGATCAGATGTATTCATTTTGCACAAATGAAATGACTCATTTTTGACCACTTTGCAAACGCAGGACTTTGCTCCTTGCGCCTGGGGAGCGGGTGTCTGCTTTTCACTGCATTCCAGGGGAAGCTCCCGAGGGCCAGACTTGGAGACTTTTAATGATTTATTTAGGGTGAAGAAGGAGAGATTTGCCGAGTGTTGAGTTTGGAAAGATGAAGGGTTGCATGGAACGCCCAGGAGGGCTGGTACTGTGTTTAAGATGCAAAGGCTTTCTGCAGGGTAAAGCGTTATCGTTTCTCTCCCTGGCTCTCATCAACCCCTTGAAGTGAACTTACACTCACTGGTAGGAGTTAAGTATAAGACCATTTCACGAGTGTTCACTGTGGGTCAGGGTGTCACCACATCTGAACTGACCTCACCCCGCGTGTGAATTGTTAGCCTCATTTTGTATTTCTAGGAGCGTGTTGTTTTATCCGAGTTATCTAATTCATTACAGTACAGTTGTTCCTGGTACTCTTATAATCCTTTTTATTTTTCTACAATGAGTAACAACGTCCTCATGTTTACTTCTGTTGGAATAATTTGCCTCCTCGTTTTTTCTTAGTCAGTTTAGCTCACAGTCTGGTAAATGGCTTATCTTTCCAAAGCTCCAGCTTTGGGTTTTGTTGATTTTCTCTGTTGTTTTGCTGTCTGCTCTAATCTTTATTGTGAGCTTCCTTCAGCAGCTTCGGGTTTAATTTGTTGTTGTGTTTCTAGTTTTCTAAGTTGCACAGAGTTAGGTTATTTATTTGTGATCGTGTCATTTCTCAGGTGGATATGTCCTCTTTCGTTTTCCTTCATCTCTAAGTAATTTCTAATTTCCCTTGTGATGTCTTCTTTGACACAGGTTCTTTTAAGTGAGTTCTGTACTTTCCACAGATTTGTGAATTTCCCACTTTTCCTTCGTTACGGATTTCTAACTTCATGCCATTGTGCCTGGAGAAGATGCTGTGTATATCTACCTTTCAAAGTCTACTGAGTCTTAAATTGGGCTCTAACACGCGGTCTGCCCTGTGACGGCCTCCTGTGTTGGTTGGTGGGGTTGCATATGTCTTAGATCTAGTTGGCTTATTGTGTTGTTCATGCTCCCCCTTCCTCACTTCTGTCTGGGTGTCCTATCCATCCCTGAGATGGGGTATGAAGGCTCCAGCTATTACATAGAATCAACTCTTTCTCCCTCAGTTCTGTCCATTTTTCCTTCTTATATTTTGATGGTCTGTTGTTAGGAGAATAAGTGTAGTTTCATCTTCTAGCTGTTCTGAATGTACAGTGTCTTCTTTGTCTCTTGTAACCTTTTCCAATTTGAAATCTATTTGGGGCTTCCCAGGTGGCACTAGTGATAAAGAATCCATCTACCAATGCAAGAGGCTCAAGAGATGGGAGTTTGATCCCTGAGTCAGGAAGTTTCCCTGGAATAGGAGATGGCACTCCACTCCAGTATTCTTGCATGGAAAATTCCATGGGCAAAGGAGCCGAGCAGCCTACAGTCCATGGAGCTGCAAAGAGTCAGACGTGATTGAACACATCCTAATGCAAATTTCATGTCTGGCATTAGTACAACCACCCTGCTCTCCTGTGGTTACGTTTGCATGGACTATCTTTTTCTGTCCTTTCATGTTCGGCACTTTTGTGTCTTTGGAACTAGAATGAGACATTTGGGTCCTTTCTGCCAATTAGTATTCTGTTTGGAAGGTTTAATCCATTTACATTTAAAATCATTACTGATAAAGAAAGCTTACTGCTTTTATTTTACTGTCCGCTTTCTATTTGCTTTATGGCGCCTTTGTCCCTCTTTTCCAGCTTGGCCATCTTTTGCTTTTAGATGACTTTTTTGTAGTGAGCCATTTTAATGCCCTCCTTTGACTCTTTTCTTTCTGCTTACCACAGGATTACATTTAACATCCTAAAGTTATAGTACTGTAATGCCAATTTATACCAACTTAGCTGAATCAAAGTATAGAAACTCTTTTTCTGTACAGCTCTGACCCCATTCCCTCTTAGCTACTGATGTCCCGGAATTACTTCTTTATGCCCTGTGTGTGCAAACACAGGCTAACAGTTGTTCGGGGTTTTGTTCAGTAATTTAGTCTCTTAAGTAGAAAAGAAAAAGTGGACCTGCAAAGTGAAGTTGCAGTCGTACCAGCTTTTCTAATTATCTGTGAGTTTACGTTCACCGGAGATCTTCATTTCTTCACAGTTCCGGTATCCTTCATTTCAACCTGAAGGAAACCCCTCATTGCAGGCAGGTCTGGTGGTAGAGAACTTGTTCAGCTTTGCTTCTCTGGGAAGGTCTTAATTTCTCCCTCAGTTTTGAAAGACAGTTTTACCAGATATAGGATTCTTGGTTGACAGCTTTTTTGAATACATCAGCCCGTGCCTCAAAGGTTTCTGATGAGAAATCTCCCGATATCACTGGTGAAAATATGATGAAAGCTATCTTCCTTACAGCTCTATAGATGCTAATAGTGTACGTCCAACCCAGGCCAGATCTCTTCTATGTAGTTTTTCATAGACATCACTTCCTGGAGCCAGTATTTCTTAGAGTTGATAATAAACAGATCCCCATCTATTCTATTCTAATTGTTTCCTCTGTGTGTGTTAGTTGGATTGTGAAGGAGAAATCCTAGAATCTTGCCTCAACCTCCCAGGTTTCAAATACTGCATATTTGACATGGTAACAAAAAAGATACTTATCATGTCTTATCATTTCCCTATAGGGTCATGATGCCAGCTGAGTTGTAGTGTTAGAGACCAGACTTTTGAGGAGAAAGAATTTAATATTTTAAGTGTAAATGTTATGAGTCTTTAAAAGTAAAAAATTATTACAGATTTTCAATCTAGAAACGAGAAATCCACTGAATTATCCTACAGTTTTCATTTTGATTGAAGTAAATATCAATCCCTAATAACTCACATAAACAACTGTTTGGGTCCTTTTTGTTGTTGTTTTTAAGAGTAAAGAGGTCTTGAGACCAGTTAGTGAGACGATCATTGTGGCTCATCCCCAGCTGCGACTGGCCCATTTCTTGCTCTGATCGCAGAAGGCGCTGCTATGATTATTTGCAGAACACTGATAGAGGGCCCTGCTGGGCCCAGGTTTTCCGTTCTTATCGCCCAGGATGCTCCCTCTGGTGGCCTGACAACCTTGGCCCCCAGCTGGCTTGTCCTTTCCTTTTTACCCCCGTTTTGTTTAGTTTTCTTTATTCTCTACTCTTCAAAAACTTTTTCTTTGTTCTTTTTCTCTTAAATTGTTTTTTGTGTGTTTTTAGTATAGTTAGAATTGTTGGTATAGTTAGTGTGAAAGTGAAAGTCGCTCAGTCATGTCTGACTCTCTGCAACCCCATGGACTGCAACCCCTGGATTCTCCAGGCCAGAACACTGGAGTGGGGAGCCTTTCCCTTCTCCAGGGGCTCTTCCCAGCCCAGGGATCAAACCCAGGTCTCCCGCATTGCAGGGGGATTCCTCACCAGCTGTGTCTGTAAGCAGAGTTAGCATTGTTAGTGTCACTAGTTAGCATTGCTGGCATTGATAGTAGAGTTGCTATGGTTTGTAAGCGTAGTTAGTGTCATCAGCCAGAGCAGTCAGCAGGTGACCACGGTACACGGCCTCGCTGAGGCCTCCCTGCTGACAAGGGGGCGCCTGTGGACTCTTCCAGGCTCCTCAGGATCACTGGCCAGTGCAGCTCCACCAAGGTGACCCTGGCGCAGCTGGCCCTCAAGGTCCTTAGGGAGAATCAGCAGAGCTCCTCTGCCTCCAGGCACTTTTCCATGAAGGCCACGGAGTGAAGGTCTTATGCTACCAAAGTCCACAGAGTTATCCGTGGGGGCTGACTGGGGGAGACCCGCTGGGCCATTCACAGGACGGACAGGCCTGGGGCACGTCGGGAGCTGATCTCCACCTGCAGGACGGCCACCGGGAAGGGATCGGGTTGGGGACCTGAAGCCAGGAAGCCTCCTCTCTGACGTGACAGCTGCAGGCTTGGCCTCGGCAGGAAGTTCAGAGGCTGTAAGCTGAACCCCTACTTCTGCAGCCTCCATACGCTGCCCTGGAACTCTTCTGGGCCAAAACCACGGCAGCCCCTTGGTGCAAGCGTGGAGCCTGGGACCGTGGCCACTAGGTCCCTGCCCCCTGGCGGGGAGGACTTTGTGGAGCCGCGGCAGCGGGCTCTGTGTTGGCAGCACTGTATTCCTTGTCGTTTGGCCATGAAAACCTCTTGCAGAAAATGATAATTGTTGACCCCAGGGACAGAGGGCATTAGGAGACACCCTGAGGAATCCGTGGGTCAGCACAGGCCATACCTGAACCACGCTGCAACAGCGAGGACCCCCAGGCGACAGAGGTGATGAGGACCATGGGTGTTGAAGGGGACGACATCCAGGACTCAGAGTGACGGCCACAGGTCTGGTCTCAGCTCCAGGAAGCCCAGGGTGCAGGGCCACCCGTGACCTCAGCAGCTGTGAAGTCTAGCCTCACCCAGCCTGTGAGGTTCAGCCAAAGGTCTCTGGGCAGAGGAACGTCTCGTCCCCACGTGGCAGCCTGAAGGGCGCCAGGAGTAAGGGCAGTGAGCCTGCCAGCCCACCCAGCCTAGGACTGTGCTGGTGGGCGAGGGGGAGGGTTTTCACCAAGGACTTGGTCCTTCCTCATTGTGACATGGACCGGATGCTCCAGAAAGCTGCCTCACAGATGCTCTGTCCGCATCCTCCCCGCCCAGAGGTGGGGCTGGGTCCTGGAGTGACATGGTGCTTGGCATTCATCAGAACAATGCAATGGAATGACAACTTAAAAGAATTATCAGGCAACTCCCAGGAGCCACTAATGTGGTTCTGCTGAGAAAGGCCAGCAGCCGCACGCAGGGTGGAAATGTGGAAATCGTGCATCACCGTCTTGCACCAACATCTCCCCGTTTCCCGAAGGACCGAGGGGAACTTCTGCCCTGAGTCTGTGTTCATTATGACACAGAGGTTCGTTCTAGGATAGCGAAGCCCCATGAACCAGCCAGTGTGGGAAGTCAGAAAAGTGGGGGTGGGGGGGTGATCCCCCAAAGAGGCTTGGTCTTTGCAGCTGGCTTTTCTGACTGTCATGCAGGAGCCGGGCCTTTTCCACTTTCCCCATCAGGGAAGGCCCCCGATGCCTGAATTTGACGGCAGGAACAGCAGGCACAGGGCTGAAGAAAGCAGGGTGTCGGGCACACGCAGGGCAGAAGTGGGGAGTTGGGCAGGCCTGGCCCCCTTGCTTGCAGGACCACCCCCCAGTGGTGCGCTGTGCTTGGCGGCTCCAAACTCACGCCCCCCAGCTCAGGGCCTGGGAGCAGCGGCTCTGATGCCGGAGGCTCAGGGCCCTCCCGAGACCATCTCCTCCGGTCCCGTGAGCCCCGGGCCTGGGCTGGGCCACCCTCATTAATGCACGCTCAGTCTCACAGGGAAGGCTGTGGGTTTTTTCTAAGGAGCGGGGTAGCCGTGAGCAGGGAGGAACACCGCGGCCTGCCACTGAAGAGGACACATCTGGCCACAGCTGCCCAGGGAGTTCGGCGGGGCGGGGGAACCTCGGTCCCTCAGAGATCCCCGCCAGCAACTTGCCAGCGAAACTCCACAGCAGCCAGAAGCCCAGCGTATTTAGCTGGTTCCTGAATTACGGTGCTTAATGCGGTTTGTCTGCTCCACACGACAGTCTCATAAAATAGGACCTCAGGGAACATTAGAAGGGGTGGGGCTGAGGGGTCCCCGTGGCTCCCAATGGCCTCGTCCACCTCCCCGAGCACTGGATACCAGCCTTTAGCTGGTCACACAGCCGTCCGGGACTGCAGAGTTCCCACCTCTGCAGTGAGGCTGGCCGTGCGAAGCTCCCTTCCTTCAGGACAGGAAGGGAGGTCTGTAGAGCCTCTAGAATGTGTCCTAGGAGAGAGAAGCTGGCTCCGGCTGCTCCTCCCTCGGCTGTGCCCCTGGGAGCACGAGCTCCGAGGCTGGCTCTCGTCCTGCCCCCGTGTAGACGCGGCGCTCCTCAGGGACGACGGGGCATCAGGGAGAGGCGTTTCCGGGGCCAGCCCTGGCCTGTCTGCTCCAGACCCAGCGGGAAGGGTGGGAACTCCCATTTGCCTCTGAGCTGTGGGGCTCTGTTACCGTCTCTGAGCCTTATGCTAGCCCGAACGGCAGTCCTCAGGGCACGTTTCTCAGCCGCCCTCAGGACCCTGGCTCCCTTGACGTTTCCAGCTCCCACTCCCGTGGGTGACAGCCAGGCTCGGCTCCAGCCCCTTCTCTCCGCTGCGTGCCTCTCTGGAAATCTACAGCAGGAAGATAGATGCTCCCGACTGAAGGAGTCAGGAGCTGATGTCTTCCGGGGGCACCACCCCCGCCCCTTCCCAGAGATGTAGCTTGTTTTGAAATATGCTGCACTGACTCTTTCCCGGCTAATCGCTGCAGATTCTAATTAAATAACTCAGGGAACAGGCCGTCTCACGCGTGGTGTAACTTGATTATTGCTGGAAAGATGAGTTCGGAAATGACAACTTCCCTGCTAGGCTGACAAGAATAAAAGCTTCATTTGAAAAACCAACCAAACTCCATGCACAGTATGAAAGCGGAGGCTAGAGCTTGGTCGAGCCTTGGTCTGAGCTGTCCGTGGGGAGACAGGTCTGTAGGGCCTCCTGGGTGTCCAGTCCTGTTTAGTTCCTTATGTGCCCTCCGGTCATGGCCTGTGATTTTAGAGGAGAGGACCCCTAACATACATTAGTCGACTGATCTTGCATGCTCAGTTGCTTCAGTCGTGTCCAGGTCTTTGCGACCCCATGGACTATAGCCCGCCAGGCTCCTCTGTCCCGGGGATTTTCCAGGCAAGAATACTGAAGTGGGTTGCCATTCCCTTCTCCAGGGGATCTTCCCAACCCAGGGATCCAACCCGTGTCTCCTACATCTCCTGCATTGCAGACGGATTCTTTACCACTGAGCCACTGGGGAAGCCCATACGTTAGTCAACAGATTGAAGACATGGCGAAAAAAAAACTGTAGTTGATTTGTTCACTTGTTTAAGTGATTGCAAAGTGTCATCTCAGGCTGGCTTAAAATAGGATGTATTCATAGAAAGCTTGCCTGAGCACCTGCTGTGGACTTGGTCCCAGATCGGGGGCTCGGGGGACTGTGAGGAGAAGAGAGCCTGGGTGTCTGTCCATGAGAGACAGAATAACGCCAGGTGAGGAGGCCAGGAGGTGGGGGGCTTTGAGGTGAAGTAGGGACACGTCTGGTGGGGGAGGTGGGCTAGGGTCTGGGGTGGCCTTGAAGCATCACCGCGGTGTGATCTGGAGGACAGGGAAGAGTGTGGGTGTGCTCGGCGGAACAGCTTGCACGGTGGCTCAGAGGTGTGGGGAGTGGGGGCATGTGACCTTGTCCCTGTAGCAGGCCTCCATCCCCCTTCCTCTGTGACGTCGGGGATGGTGATGAGAGCAGCTTAGTGAGCCCCCCGGGGTCCTGTCAGCAGTTCTTTATTACAGATGAGGACACTGAGGCCCAGAGAGGGCGTTGGCCGCCCAAGGCCACACAGCAGGGAGCCTGCTCTAGTCCAGGCCGCACAGTTAGTGTCTTCACGGCGGGCTCTGTGTTGGCGGCGGGGTGCAGGCTTGGAATGGACCTTGAAAGCAGTCTGACCCCAGTGCTCCACTGGATGCTGTGTCGCCCTCAGGAAGCACCCCTCGGCGCCCATGTGCATGCCTCCAGGGATGGGGCTCGTTGCTGACCCTGAGAGCCAGCTGGGCCTCCTGGAGCTTTGGCCTGGGATGGCCCAGGGGAGCCTTGGGGCAGCCACAGGCCCCCCCGAGGCTCTCTGTCCCCTGCTGAGCAGCTCTGGTCCCCTAACTGTCCCCGTCAGGGGGCCCAGTGGAGGTGATGGCTGTGAAGGCAGGCGTGCTGCATTGCTGAGGAAGTGGTGGGCAGGGTGCAGGTACATGCCGATGGACAGGTGATCACTCCGCAAACACTGGTCCAGGCCCGGCAGTGTGGCCGGGCTGGGCGGGGCCTGGGTGTCCAGCAGTGAATACAGCACAGCCCGTTGCTTCAGTGCTCAGAGACATGGGCCCCCCACGCCCCCACCCTGCTCCCCCAGAATAACGGCACTGAGGCTGCAGCCGTGAGTCCCAGAGGAGGGTGAGGGGAGGCCAGCATGGGCACTGGCCCCGAGCAGGACGGCCTGGGCTCTGTGATCGGGGGTCACGTCACTGCTCCATGCCTGTTTCCGACATGCAGAAAGGGGTGATGATACTTGTACCCGCCCCCCCACCCAGATTTCCGAGAGTCGGTTCTGGCCTCTGGGGCGTGGACGATGGCCTCTGGGGCGTGACGATGGCCTCTGGGGCGTGGACGACGGCGTCTGGGGCGTGGACGACGGCCTCTGGGGCGTGGACGACGGCGTCTGGGGCGTGGACGACGGCTTCTGGGGCGTGGGTGATGGCGTCTGGGGCGTGGACGATGGCCTCTGGCAGTGGGTCAGGCTGCTGCTCCCCTCACAGCAGGCTGTGCCCGTGCGAAGGAGGAGAAGACCGAGGCCGAGAGGAGTTATGAGAGCCGCTCGGGCTCACCGTTCCTTAGGATGTGCTGGTGTCGTCTCTCTGTCCAGCTGTCCTGCATTCCTGTGGTCTGTCTGTCCCCTGTGACCGCCCAGCAAAGTAGGTGCTAAGACTCCCTGAGCACATCAGCGCGTGAATGAGACTCCAGCCCCACCTGGGGCTCTCGAGGCCATGGCCACACGGGGACGTCGGGCTCCTCCAGACTGCCCGTCCCTTCACCCACACCCAACACGGAGAAGGTGTTGGGGCTAAGGGCCAGGAGGCGCTGGAGCAACCCCTGGAGGGGCTGCTGGGCAGGCAGGGGACGGGGAGGCACAGAGACGCCTCCGGAAGACAGTCGTCGGGCAGCGGAGGTGGGGACCAAGGATGCCCCGGGGGCAGGGGGCAGAGCCCAGCCTGGCACTTCCCCCTGCAGGACGGTGAGTGGGGTGAGCACCGGGGGCAGCCCGGGCCCCACTCTCGGGGCCCCCGTCCAGCAAAGGGAAGAGGAGACGATAGGACTAGGACGCCACGGCGCTCCCCATGGGCGCGGCCTCAAGGATGCTGTAGCCCCTCGGAACCCTATGATGTGGCTGGTGCTTCCAGCCCCATGGGGACAGGGGGACAGGCAGGGAGGACACAGTGATGCCCCAAGGACAGAGCTGGACTCTGGCCGGAGCGTGTGCGGGGCCCCGCTCCGAGAGCAGCCTCAGCCTGGGGGACTCTGAAGATGCCCTGGCCTCCCTGTCACAGCGGCGGCCTGGCTCATTGGGCGGGGAGGCTCCGGGGCCCATCCCTGGGATGGAAATGGAAAATCCCAAGCCTGGACCACCATCCTCCAGAAAGAGGTCAAGGCATCTCTGGACCCGGAGAAAAATATTTACAGATCATGTATCTGATAGGGGCTTGACACCCAAAGTACATCGAGAACTGATACAACTCAACAGCAAAAAGACCAAGAAACGCAGTTGTAAAATGGGCAGAGGATCTCGGTAGGTGTTTTTCTGAAGGGGATGTCTGCATGGCCAGCAGGTACATGAAAAGACGCTCCGCATCGCCAATTATCAGGGAAATGTAAATCAAAACCACGGTGAGGCATCACCTCACACGCGTCAGAAAGGCTGCTACAGGAAGACAGGAAATCACAAGTGTTAACTGCGATGTGGGGGAGGGGCCTTCATGCGCTGTTATGGGAGGGAGATTGGTGCGGCCCCTGGGGAAAACAGCAGAGAGTCCACACCGAAAACGAAAACCACCTGCGACCCAGCAACCCCACCTCTGGGTGTTTATCTGAAGGGAAGGAGATGACCATGCTGAGAAATACCTGCATGCTCACTTTCCTTACAGCATTATTTACAACAGCCAAGCCACAGAAACGACCTCGGCGCCCGCAGAGAAATGAATGGATGAAAAATGTGTGATGTGATGTGTGTGTGTGTGTGTGTGTGTGTGTGTGAAATCTTATCCGGCCATTCGCAAAAGGAGATCCCGCCATTATCAACAATGTGGACCTTGAGGGCCTCATGCTTGTGAAACAAGTGAGACGGAGGAAGACAAATGCCGTACAGTCTCACTTCCTTGTGGAATCAGAATAAAACCCCAAACTCATTGAAACACAGGACAGACTGGAGGTTGCCAGAGTAGGGTCAGAGAAGAAGTGGATGAAGGGCTCAAAGGGCACAAACTCCTAGTCATATAATAAACAGGTCCTGGGGTGTCCTGTGCAGCAGGGTGACCCTAGTTAACAACACTGTGTTGTGTGTGTGGAAGGGAGTAGGTCTAAGAGAGCAGATCTCAACAGTCCTCATCACAAGGAGAAGCATTGTAACTGCAGTGCTGGATGTGAAATAGACCGACTGTGGTGATCATTCCACAATACGGACAAAGAGCAAATCATGCCATACACCTGCAACTAACACAGTGGTCCACGGCACTTCTTGTTCAGCCGCTCAGTCATGTCCGGCTCTTTGCGACCCAAAGGACTGCAGCATGCCAGGCCTCCCTGTCCCTCACGATCTCCCAGAGTTGCTCAAACTCATGTCCATTGAGTCAGTGATGCCATCCAACCATCTCATCCTCTGTCATCCCCTTCTCCTCCCGCCTTCAATCTTTCCAGCATCAGGGTCTTTTCCAGTGAGTCTGTTCTTCCCATCAGGTGGCCAAAGGATTGGAGTTTCAGCTTCAGCATGAGTTCTTCCAGTGAATATTCAGGACTAATTTCCTTTAGGATGGACTGGTTGGATCTTCTTGCAGTCCAAGGGACTCTCAGGAGTCTTCTCCAGCACCACAGTTCAAAAGCATCAATTCTTTGGCGCTCTGTCGTCTTTATAGTCCAACTCTCACTTCCACACACGACCACTGGAACAACCACAGCTTTGACTATGTGGAATTTTGTCGGCAAAGTGACGTCTCTGCTTTTTAATACACTGTCTAGGTTTGTCACAGCTTTTCTTCCAGGGAGCAAGCATCTTTTAATTCCATGGCTGCAGTCACCATCTGCAGTGATTTTGGAGCCCGGGAAAATAAAATCTGCCACTGTTTCCATTTTTCCCCCGCCTGTTTGCCGTGAAATTATGGGACTAGGTGCTATGCTCTTAGTTTTTTGAATGTTGAGTTTTAGGACAGCTTTTCACCCTCCTTTTTCACATGCCAGCAAATTTGGAAAACTCCACAATGGCCACAGGACTGGAAAAGGTCAGTTTTCATTCCAATCCCAAAGAAGGGCAATGCCAAAAAATGTTCAGGCTACCATACAGTTGCGCTCATTTCACATGCTAGCAAGGTAATGCTCAAAATCCTTCAAGTGAGGCTTCAACAGTACTTCCAGATGTACAAGCTGGATTTAGAAAAGGCAGAAGAATCAGAGATCAAATTGCCAATATCCTCTGGATCATAGAAAAAGCAAAAGAATTCCAGAGAAACATCTACTTCTGCTTCACTGACTACAGTAAAGCCTTTGACTGTGTAGATCACAACTGGAAAATTCTTAAAGAGATGGGAATACCACACCACCTTACCTGCCTCCTGAGAAACCGGTATGCAGGTCAGGAAGCAACAGTTAGAACCAGATGTGGAATAACAGACCGGTTCAAAATCAGGAAAGGAGTACTTTAAGGCTTTATATTGTCACCCTGCATATTTAACTTCTGTGCAGAGTACACGATGCAAAATGCCAGGCTGGATGAAGCACAAACTGGAATCAAGACTGCTGGGGAAAATATCAACAATGTACCAATTATATCTCAACTTAAAAAGTGAGAGCGCAGGAGTGAGAGCGTGGATGACTTGTTAGCTGAAATTGCGCTTGCCTTGCAGCAGCAGAGGGCGATACCTGGGACAAAGACCATAGCTCCCATGCAGCCTAAATGCTTACTGTCTGAGCCTTCACGGCAAAAGCGTGCTGACCCTGCCCTGCAAGACAGTGGTCGTAGCAGCCACAGCAGCATGCCTGGGACCCCCCTCAGCCCCGTCAGCTCCCCTGCTCCACTGTTGCCCCATTTAATCCCCTCCCCACCCTAACAGGGAGAGACTTCAGTGTTCCCATTTTACAGATGAAGAAACTGAGGCCCCTTTTGCTTTTTATAACTAACCAAGAGGAGGATGAGATGGTTGGATGGCATCACCAACTCAATGGACATGAGTTCGAGTAAACTCAGGGAGTTGGTGATGGACAGGGAGGCCTGGCGTGCTGCAGTCCATGGGGTCGTAAAGAGTCAGACACAACTGAGTGACTGAACTGAACTAACCAAGAGGCAGAGCCAGCATTGAACCCCAGTATTCTGGTTTCAAAGCATCTCCACATCTCAACTACAGTTTCTAGAAGGTGGGAGTCCAGGCACTGGGGAACACCCGCTCTTTCACACTTAGAGCCATGCTCCAAGGCCAGCCATTCCAAAGGCTGCTGGAGCGACACTTAATCCATTTATTCTGCACTTCTCAGCCCTCGGCGGCCGCTCTCCTGACATTTCAGCTGGCTGAGTTTTTACAGGTGAATCACCCCTGCCCGCCACCCACCCTGCCGTCCCGTATGGTAGGCCCCTCCTCACCCTGTTGTTCTAAATCAGCTCACCAATCTGCAGAACTGCATTAAAAGAGCCCCGCTCACCTGTGTGAGGGTTTGATGAGGGGAAGGAAGGGGGAGTTGGGGGCGGGGGGATTCTTACTCCGAAGGTGACACGTGAAAGAGAAAGTATTTATGTCCACAATGGGACTCAATTAATGCCAAGAACTTAGTCCCAGAGAGAAATAAAAGCTGAGAGGCTGAAGGTTACAAGATTGCTGACAAAGGGCCTTGACTGTTGGTCCTAAGTGTGTGATTTAATTTAAAAAACGAGCCCCCTGGATGCTGACTGTTTGCCCCTCATGGCTGGAAATGGCCACCTGACCCTTCAGTTCCGGGACAGGATTGCCTGGGCATCGGGGGACCTTAACTGAGGGTGCTGGCCTCCGTCCTGGGCACACCTGCCCTGTGTGCCCCCATGGACTGCAGTCCCCATGTGTCAGAGTATTCCTCATGCCAGGCCCAGGAGACCCAGGTCATCAGAAGGAAGGACGAGTCTTTGGGGGTCACACGTATGCCCTCGGCAAAGCGTGACAGAGAGAAGGCCTCCCCACCCAGCAAGCATGCTGGCTGGAGGTGGGGAGCTGCCCACGTGGGCTCACACGTGGGTGATGGATTGAGATCCCACGCCCCCACTCACCCGTGAGCACCCCGCCGCCCGCCACGTGCAGCCTGTCTGCCTCCGTAGGCTGGAAGCCAGTCTCCCTGGCCCACACTGGGTGCAGTATGATGCAAAGCACTGGGTCGTTGGGCCCCCTGGGGTCTGCAGACCCCGAGGCCCGGCGGGAGGCAGGGGAGCGAGGAGAGGTGTGTGAGCAGCCGGTGTGACAGGAGCGCCGCGGAACTGTCCGAGCGTTTGTGGACATCCAGAAACGGGCAGCGGCCCCGGCAGGCTCGTTACTTAAGGTCATGTGTACTCTCTCTTGTCAATTGCAATCATGTGTTTGAACAGAGGCCTCCGGAGTCTATTAGCGACATCACCGCCCATCACGGAGCGGCTCTGCTCAGCTCCTGAGCGTGATGGCGTCTGCACACCTGTGACCCACCCGCCCGGGCGTCGCTCTGTGACTCGCAGCGGCTCCCCGTTGCCCAAGCCTGCTCCACTCCAGGAGCAAAACCTCTTATGGGGCCCTGGCCACCCTCCGCACCTGGGCAGTGAGCCGCCGGTGCCCCCGAGCCCCCGGGCCGTCCCTGGCGCTTCTGCCCACTGCGTGTGCTGCCCCTGCTCTGCTGTTCTCTTGTCTTTGTGCCTTCAGCTCCCTTGTCCGTTTCTGCTTTGTGGCAGGGCGGCGTTGCTTGCTCAGCTAGCAGCCTTTGCCCACCCCGCCCTGCCTTCTTCCTGCGGACGCTCAGGGTGGAGGAATCACAGTTGGTCTTGGCCACCATGACAACTGTTTCCCCACCACCCCCACTAGTGATTGGTCAGGACAAGGGATCGTGACCCAGTTCTGGCCAGTGACGTCTTTAGAGGAAGTCTGTGGGGGCTTCTGAGAAAGATTTTCCTTCCCGAAAAGAAAGCTTGATGGGAAGAAGATGCCCCCTTGCTCCTGCTTCGAGTGCTGACTACACAGAGGTGATGGCCGGCACAGAGGCAGCCACACTGCATCCATGAGGAGTGGCACCAACATTCTGGTAACGTGGAATAGAGATGTGGGTGGCTTCTGAGTCACTGATGAAGCTATTGGGCCCCCAGACCCTTTCTGGGCCTCCGATCTCTCATATTGTCTTTAAACATGAAACCTTAGATGCCTTTGTAATTTAAGCCACTCTCAGTAGGGTTTTCTGTGACTTCAGCCAAGCACATAGCTAACTGATACAACCCTCAAGTCTCAGGTAAACATTCCCTGTCCTTCACCAGTTCCCCATCAGACTCGGGCCTGAGCCCCCTACCCTTCCCCCATGAAAGCAGCTCACGCGCTGTGGTGCCGTCTTTCTAGCTGACGTGTCCACGGGTGGCCTGTGAACACCTCCGGGGCAGGCCTCCACCTTATCTGTGTCCCCGAGCCTGCACACAGTGGGCCTTCAGGACCTCAGGGACCTCGCCCCACGCCCACCATGGCCGGAGCCCCCAGCCGTCAAAACAGCTGCGGATTCACTGCTGCCTAAGCTCTGCTTGCGGATCCCCGGGGTCTCTGCAGCAGGAAGAGCGAGGTCCCTCGTGACCAAAGCCTCTCAGCGGCTAGATCTTGCCTCACATGTGCCTTCCAGGGCTGACCTGTGGATTTGTGGTCAGTTTGGCCTCTCCTGTGGCCGCCACGGGGGCCACGATGCAGAGAAAGGAGCACGTGAGCTGAGTTTCAAGGGAGACGTGGACGGGTGGATCCATTTCATTTCAGACTGAGTTTGGGTCTCTGCAGGGTCAGGACAAGACCTCTGGTGAGAAAGTGAGGAGCAGGGTCTCCTAAGGCCCAAAGGAAGGAGGTCCCAGATGTGGTGCTAGGGGTGGGATGGGGCTGGGGCGAAGACGGTCAGCCTTCCCCGAAGCAGCTGGAGCCCATGGACGGAGGCTGCCCTGGTGGTCAGAGAAGCTTGATTCTGTACGCCGCACAAAGCAAGAGAAAGAGATGCAGAGTGTAGGGGACCTGGGGGGTGTGGTGCTGCCGGCAAAGGACCTCTGAGCGCAGGGCTGATGGGCTTGAGGTGACGGTGGCCTGGTAGCTGTGTCCCCACCCGCTTCTGTTACACACCAACACCTACTGCGTGTGCTATGCATTTTCAGGACTGTCCGCTGCTCTGAGCAGTGGTCAGGGGGCTCCCAAGGGGAATGAGTTTTGTCCGAGGAAGCATCTGAAGGTGAGCTTCAAGTCCCACCCTGCCCCCCACTGTGTGACCCTGAGGAACCTCTGCCGTGCAGGAGACCCGGGTTCGATCGCTGGGTCGGGAAGATCCCCTGGAGGAGGGAATGGCTTCCCACTCCAGTACTCTTGCCTGGAGAACCCCATGGACGGAGGAGCCTGGTTGGCTATAGTCCATGGGGTCGCAGAGTCGGACACAACTGAGCGGCTAACACACACACACTGGGCTTCCGCTTTCTTCGTTTCTGTAAAACGCAGCCCCGGGGGAAATGAGGTCCTGGGCCCCTCTGTTGTCACAGCCTGGGGCTGGGTCTGAGCGCCGCCGCATCAGCCCGTGAGCACCGCAGACAGTGGCCACAGCACTCCCAGGGCCGGCAGGGCTCAGGGGAGTCCACTCACACAGCTGTGCGTCTAGATCCCCCCTCACTTCGTGGCTGCTGAGGGCACCCAGGGCAGAGGACGGCCTGGGGTTTTCTGTGCCTGGAGGACCCTGGGCGCTAGTTCCTGTGTGGTGGCAGAGGGGGCTGCTGCTGTAGAAAATCTCTTTGGGGGCGTTCGGGAGTACCGAGTCCTTCCATCACTAAAAGTCAAGTTTGGGATTCTCCACAATGGCTAGAGTGGTTTATTAAAAATGGGAAATGTTACGCAATGCTTTTCCAATGCTCCTGGGACACATGTCAAAATCCTAAGCCTGATGTGGAACCAAGTTACAATTTGCCCACTTTCAGCGCCTTTTGCTGGGGTGTGCCACTTCTGTTTCTTCTTCCTCGGCAATGGCAATATCCACTTAGAGATGCTGAAGATCCATATAAAGATGTGATGTGGAGAAGACTCTTGAGAGTCCCTTGGACAGCAAGGAGATCAAACCAGTCCATCGTAAAGGAAATTAGTCCTGAATATTCATTGGAAGGACTGATGCTAAAGCTGAAAACTCCAGTCCTTTGGCCAACTGATGTGAAGAACCCACTCACTGGAAAAGACCCTGATGCTGGGAAAGATTGAAGGCAGGAGGAGAAGGGGACGACAGAGGATGAGATGGTTGGATGGCATCACTGACTCAATGGACATGAGTTTGAGCAAGCTCTGAGAGTTGGTGATGGATGGGGAAGCCTGGCGTGCTGCAGTCCATGGGGTCGCAAAGAGTCAGACACGACTGAGCGACTGAACTGATATAGAGATGCTCCTTCAGCCCAAGTCCTGAGGGAAAGGGTGTGAGCACAGCCGTGTGAGGACCTAGATGAGGGTAAATTACTGAAGGGCTCTGAGATTTGGGTTAGCGTTTGTTACTCGCATAACTCAGCCGTGAGTGTTGACACATAACCCATGAACTCTTGCTTTTACTCATCTCACAAGTGCTGCCTTCTGCCTTTATCCTGTCTCCTTGGAAGGTTATTTATACCTTTTTGCCTGGTTAATACCAGTAAGATCTCAGCTTAAATCTGAAGTCATCAAGGAAGGATTGCCTGATCTATGTTCAGAGTACCTTATATTCATCTTGTTTGTCATTAGCTCTCTTGCGCTAAACTGTAAGTTTCATGAAGGCAAAGCCAGGTATTCAGCTCACGCTTTGGGGTTCTTTTTAAGTATATTGTTTATTTGTTTATGCGTTTATCTGACTGTGTCAGGTCTTGGCTGTGGCACGCAGGGTCTTCGCTGCAGCACACGGGATCTTCCGTCGTGGGGCGCAGGCTTCTCTAGTTTGGCCTTAGGCTTGGTAGTTGCATCGAGTGGGCCTAGTTGCCCCGGGGTGTGTGGGATCTTCATTCCTGGACCAGGGACTGAACCCACGGCCCCTGCATTGGAAGGTGGATTCTTAAACCACTGGACCACCAGGAAGTCCCTAGCTCATGCTTCCTGGAGGCCCTGCTCCATCCCCACTGCATGTCAGGGCCCAGGCTGAGGGGCTGGAGATGATGGGGGTGCATACCAGCCCTGAGCCGTGGGCTCACAGACCCACCCTGTCGCAGGGGAGATGAACACACACAGCAGCATCTGAACCCCCGGGATCATTCTGGTTGGAAATGAGTGTGACCGCAGCTAGAGGGAAGGCCAGGGGGACTGCCTGGAGGAGGGGGTGCTGCGGTCTGATTTGGAGGAGGACATGGACTGGTCCAGGTGGAGGGCTTGCTGGGGGTGTGGCGGGAGTTGCAGAGCACAGAGCAGCGCGCCCAGCGTCTCCAAGGCTCGAGAGGGTGAACCCGGGGGCAGCCAGAACCAGATGAGCATCTGGCCTCTGCCGCTGTGAGCAGAGCTCTCCTGTTTTGGCGCCTTTGTAGGTGAAAGGCAGACTGTGGCGTATGCTTCGTGGAGCCTGTGGACAGTGTGGATGGTGGCAGGTTCCAGGCCCTTCCATATGTCGGTGTCCTGAGCACTCTGGTCCGGGGGTCAGGTGGGCCCGGTGTCCTGAGCACTCTGGTCCGGGGGTCAGGTGGGCCCGGTGTCCTGAGCACTCTGGTCCGGGGGTCAGGTGGGCCCGGTGTCCTGAGCACTCTGGTCTGGGGGTCAGGTGGGCCCGGGGTGGGCATGCAGGTAGCTTCGTTCAGGATGAAACAGCCAGAGACCACCTCGCTCACTGGAGCTGTCTGCGTGCCTTCAGCTCCCGTCCGCGTTTTCTGAGAAGCCTCCATACAGTTTTTTCTAGTTAACTGAGGCGTCCTGTGCCCACAGCCCCAGCCGCCGTTTAATATTTGCATTTGCATAAGATGAAGGAAATAGAGGCGAGGTGAATCACCAAAATACCATGTCGCTGGCTGCCATGTCTCTGATATGATCTTGTCATTAAACTGGTCTGCGGGTATCAGGATGCGATAGGGCGAGCCTGCTGCTCGGGAACCAGTGACCACGGTCACTCAACGTCCCTTGAGCCGGGGAGGGAGGCGTGTCCACACAGGCTTGGGGCTTTCGGGCCCTGCTGGGATGCAGAAGGAAAGCCCCCAACCCCCCAAAAGGCAGGAAGGTGGGCTGTGACGCTGGAGGCCACCCTTCTCCGTGGCCCTTGATTTTCTCATTGTGCAGGAGGAGAGTGAAGTGTGTCCCCCACGCCACCGCCCGCTTCCCTGGTGTCAGGCGCATTTGGAAATGGGGACCGCCCCCCCACAGACAGAGGAAGCTCAGAAGCGAAGAAAGGAAGGCCTGCAGCCTGAGGAGGCTGCGGTGGAGACGGGTGCAGCCCCTGTGCCGGGGGTGGGGAGATGATCAGGGCTCAGCGGGGCCGTGCCCTGGGGACTAGAGAGGGCAGCGATCCTGCCTGGCCGCCTGCGCTGGGCAGCTGGCTGCAAGTCCGGGGAAGCTCTCCAGCACTGGGTAGACGTGAGCCTTCTCCTGTGGCAGGTGGGAAGGATGGCGGGTGGCCAGCAAGGGGCTCAAGAGACCGGAGTCCACAGGGGCCGACGCGGTAGTAGCTGACCTTCCCCGCTGCCGGGGGCTGGCTGGGGCTGGCTCCAAAACCCCAGACAGTTTCCCGAGAGGTACTGCCTTTCAGAGCCGCTCCGGCCTGCCAGCTGGGCTTCAGACCTTCCAGGTCAGAGCTGGCTGGACCCGCCAAGTCAGCAAGCAGGCACTGTGTAGTAGGCCTTCTCTGATCCGCCGTCCCGGGCAGCCTGCCGTGAGGGTGAAGCGGGGAGGGGGCCTAACCTGTAGGTGTGCTCCACGTGGAGGAGTGCTGCGATCCATTAGTCATGTCTGCCATGGGCGAGGCGGGCAGGCCTGTGTGACGCGTGCCAGCCGTCACCCATTCCTGGCGCAGTCTCTTATCTCGCTTATGGAGAAACAAGCCTCAGTTCTTCCACCTCCTGGTCTGGCCTCTGGGGACCCACGGGGGACACGAAGGAAGAGCAGTGAGCTGTGTGGCGAGGAGTCAGGCTGGATCCACACGGTGTTGCTCCTCTCTTGTCTCCTTGCCTGTATCTTCTTAATATTTGATGTGTTTTGTCCATTGTAAGGGGTAGTAAAACAGTGAACATCTGTGAACGCACCACTCGGCTCCAGAACTAGAACCTTCTCAATAGCCTGAGTCTTGCCCTACCCTAGGGTCACTCTCCTGAATCGTGTGTGTGTTGGCTTGCTCCATCTGTCTAAACAATATGTGGTTTTGTTTGTTCTCAGGCTTCATAAAAACAGTACACTACGTGTGGCCTTCCAAGATTCGCAATTTTCAATCCACATGTTAGCTTTCTTAAGCTTTCTTCATACCGCCGTGTGCAGCTGTAGCTAGTTTTCACTGGTGTGGAATAAACAGTGAGGCTATTCAAGCTGGTTTTCATCCTCCTGTCGATGGGTATTTGGGTCATTCTGGATGTTTTCCCTGTTGCTAACGATGCTGCTGGGAGGTCTTCTTGCATGTGCCCTGTGTGGTGCCTAGGAAGTGAACTTGGAGGGTCATAAGGCGTGGGAATGGTCTGCTGCAGGAATGCCGAGGTGGTTGTCACGGCGGCTGTGCCGTTTTCTCTCGTCCCCGGCGTTTGCGTGTTCTGCTGGGTCTCTGCCCTCTGAGGCCCTCGGTGCTGCCCGCTGCCCCACGGCGGGCGTGTCGGCTGGGCGTGCAGTGAGGCGCTGGGCGGTCAGCTGCGCTCTCCCGCACGCGGGCAAAGCCCACCGGCGCCTCCTCTCACGCTCTCGTCGCTGTGCCCGTCTCCGCCTGTTGAGAAGTGCCTGCCTCGGGCTGTGCCTCCTGGCTTCCCTCTTTCCTGTGGATTCGCAGGCGTTCGCGTATCCTATACACTGGTCGTTTGCTGGCTGTGCTTTCTCCGTCTCCTGTCTCCCAGTAAAAAGGAATCCTTCATTTGGCTATAGTCATATCTATCAGTTTTTTTTTTTCTAAGCCTGTTGAGCTTTTTGTTCCTTGTTTAAGAAATTGTTCCCAGTCCCAACTGTAGGAAGATAACTCCTCACAGAAAACTATTCTAACAGTTGTTGAGCTTTCCCTATCAAGTGCAGGTTTAGACCTGACTTGGGATGCGGTGTGAGGTGTGAGGTAGGGATCCAGGTTCACTTTCCCACATGGATACTGGCTTTCCTGCGCCGTTGACTGAATGGGCCTCCTTTCTCCAGTCTCACATCTAGAAGCCTTTTGTCTAAAAGTCCTCAGTCCCGAGGCCCTCAGGTCTCTGGGGGTTTGTGAGCACCCCATGGGCCTTCCTGGTCTCTGCGTATTTTTCCCTTCTCTCTCTTTTTACGGTTGCAATTTCTAGTGTGTGCGAGGGCCCCAGAAAGCGCAGTGTCCTGATTCCTGGATATTTTTTGTGGAAATGAGAGCATAAAGGAGGGTTTGAGTCTGTAATGACCAGAGGATTGTGAGGGGTGACCCCGTGATGGAGGGTGGCTGGGACTTCCAGAGGGCAAGGTCTGGGCTCCTTCCCTGGCAGCGTGGCCACACCCAGCAGGGCTGCTGGGTGGGGACCTGAGTCTGGGGCTGCAGCATAGGGCTGAGACCCCCGGCCGACTTTCCACTCCCCTCCGGTGGGCTCCCCTGACCCGGCGTGGAGGCCCTTCTGCCGCCGGAAGGTGCTGGCTGCTCTGCTTCTCATCCCGCCGCATGCCCCCTGGTGTGATGTTGACGGTGAGGCCGCTGCAGTTTAGGGACCTCCAGCTCCTGGTCCGGTAACAAGGTGGAGAACTTGGGGAGCAGACCCGTCACCCTGGAGCCCGGATCAGAGCAGCTGTCCTGGTGGAATGCCCACCTCTGCCGCGGGGGGTTCCGAGTCATGGTCTCTGACCCTGCCCTCCCCCGGCTCCTCCCTACCCCCCGGGCCCTTGACTCAGGGCCCACTCGGAGGTCTGGAGCCAGGAAAGGAGGTGGCCTCCCCTCCCTGACCCGCGATCCGGAGTTAAGCCCTCGGTCCAGCCCCCGCCATCTCTGCCCTGCCCGTCCACAGGATCAGGAAGGCCCGGGCTCCAGGACAGCTTCACACAAGGGGAGGCTTGTGGAAGCCCACAGACCCTCACCCTACAGAGATAACAATGATGACAGCTTCACGTTCCAGGCCCGGGTCTGAAAAAGCTTTTCCTCACAGCCCTGCAGAGATGCTGGGGTGTGCCCGTCTGGCAGGCCAAGGCCGAGGCCCAGAGCCCAGGGTCCCACAGCAGGCCGGAGGGCAGGCCGGGGTTTGCAGCCCGGCTCCTGGCGTCAGACCTCATGCTCCCCGCACAAGGCTGCAAGGCCCCTCTGGACCTGGGCCTGGCCCCCAGCTCAGCCTCCCCGAGACCGATCTGAGCCCACCCCCCACAGGGACTGTCCCCCCTCGCAGAGTCTAGAAGAGCTTTGTCTCTGAGCTCTGGATCTGCGGTGGGCCTGGGCCTGCCCCGGCCTCCCTGGCCATAGAGAACGTCCTTCTCACTTCCGTGACCAGGCCGGGCCAGGCTGCCTGCTCTAGGGTAGGGGTGCCCCGGCTCCCTGCACTGGGAGAATTGGCCCTGAATGCTGGGCCCTTAATTTTAGAGTGTTTCACACAGCAGGGGCTCCATGCTCCACGGAACAGACCTCTGGGGCCACCTCAAGTCCAGGTATCTTTGACAAAAGTCTCCCACAGAGGCTTACAGCAGCTGGGCTTATGCTTCTGAGTGAGTGCCCAGCTCCTAGACGTGGCTATAGCCCATCACTGCCCACAGAGGGGCTGGCACCTGCCAGGCGGGGAGGATGGCAGGCAGCAGCAGGATGCCCAGGCTCAGCGCCCTGGTGGACCCCAGGGGGCCTTCCTCACCACCACCCCCCAGCCCTCACTGGCCCCTGCTGGAGGCCTCGTGACTTGGGTGTTGCTGGACCAGGTCGTGCCATGTGCTCGGCAGAGAGAGCCAGCAGGGGCAGGGCGTGGGGGGCGGTGGGGCCCTTTGACAAGAAGCAGGCTGCTCTGCTAAAGCACTGGGAGAGGGACTGCAGAAAGTGGGGAGGGAGCTGGTGGGCGCCGGGAGGGGCATTCCAGCCCCGGGGAGCTGCAAGCGCAAAGGCCCTGGGGTAGGGCTGGGTTTTGTGGTTGGAGGCCCGTGGAGCTGGGTGCTGTGAGAGGGCGGGAGGCAGGAAGCTGAGGGGCACAGCTGTGGGGAGGGCAGAGTGCTTGGCTTTGACCCTGAGTGTCGCAGAAGCCGCTGGAAGGCTTTGAGTAGGGCCTATACCCCGGGCAGCCTGGGCGTGGGATGCCCAAGCTTGTATCTTAGTTGTGACTCTGTGCACTGAAGCTCAGGTCCCCGTCTGTAGGGCAGAGCCTGAACCACGGCTACTGTGAGGGCCAGGAGGCAAGAGCCTGAGGCCAGTCCATCTGTCCGCAGCCAGGCCCCTGTCCGTGCATCCCAGAGCCTGTGCACATAGACCTGTGTGTTCAGAATTCTGCGGTGCCTGTATCAGCCAGCTGCTGCTCTGTAACGACCGCTCCGACGCGGAGCCACTCACATCAAGGCCGTTCACTAGCCGAGGAGCTCACGGCCTGGGCTCCCGCAAGCGGGTGTGGTCGAGCAGGGCAGGGGGCCCATCTGCGGCTGGGGGTCAGTGGCCAGCCGGCTGCTAGCTGAGGCCACCGGGGGCGACGGTGATGGGGCTGTGTGCCTTTCATTCTTCCCGGAAGCTCGCTGGGCTTCTGCACATGTGTGACAGGATCCCAGGAGGGTGGGCCGCTCAAGGCCCGGGCCTGGCACGGGCTCAGTGTCCTTTGCAGCGCATCTGCTGGCCCGAGGCCAGAACAAATCTTGGGAGCCGCACCGGTTCACAGAGGGGAAACTGGACCCCACCTCCGATGTGGACAGCTGCCCGGTCACTGCATAGGGAGGGGGTGGAGACAGGGGCATGGCAGGCAGCCCAGTGCCCCCAGACAGAGGGAGAGCAGATTACCACGGGCTGGGCAGCAAGGTGACCTGCACGAGGGGCTGCAGACGGTCCTCTGAGGGGCTCACGGGCAGCCCTGGGCAGCGGGTTAGTTTCCAGTTACAGAGTCTCTGCGCCTGAATTCTGACTTACCCACAGTAAAGATTATCAGCATAGACAAGCCAAGTGAGCCGTGACGACTCTGAACGCAGTGCAGCCACCACCAAGCAAGAGCAGAGTCCTCGTCCCCTTCGCATGCACAGCGGAGGTGAAGGAGGGAGGGACGGCCGGGAGGTGGTCGCCCCTGAGTCTCAATGGTGGGCCTTGCCGGGGCCCATGGCGGGGCAGGCCAGGCTGCTTGCACTCGAACCTTCTCTGCCAGCTGACCGTCAGAGCCACTGCCCTGGCCGGGCCAGGCCCTGTCTCCTTGGGGAGGGAGGTTGAAGCCTTTGCAATTTGTAGTTGTCTGTTGTATTTAGAAACCCAAGCATCCCAGAGTCATAAATTACCTTGAACTAGTTTGCTAACCCTTGTGACTCACGGCTCTTTAAAGCGGCCAGTTATATAACTGGCTGAATAAGGTTCAACCTAGACCCCTCAGAGAGGCAGGGCTGAGCCAGTCCTGGCAAGGGTCCCAGCCACCCAGGCCTACCTGGGTCAGTGCAAGGAGATGCTTCGGGTCCCTGCAGTTCACTGGCATTTCCATGGAAACGCACTCCTAGCAAGGAGCAAGGGTTCACAAATTAATGAGGCTAGATTCTCATTCCCAGAGCGGGATCATGGGATCTGTGCCACATGGAAGGGGCAGAGAGCGCCATCTGGTTCAGCTTCCCCCACAGTATCCCTGATCATCCAGTGCCTGCTTACACCCTTCCAGGGACAGGGAGCTCACCACCACTCGGATATTTCACACTGATGAAAAATTCACTTCCTATGGACTCCAGCAGTCTCTTCTGGGGACACGTGTATCCATGCCTGAGACAGCCTGGACAGAAGGAATGACCAGACCCCTGACAAGCCTCTCCTTCCCCACCACTGGCCCTCTGGACAGAACAGGTGCTAATGGGGCCGGCTGGTTAGACATGCAGCGTGTTATGTCCACACCGCAAGTTCATCTGGACCACCGGCATTGACATCAGATTTAAATATCAGATGGCTGCAAGATACACGTGTCCCCTTCTCTTATCTGTAACAGAGCTTCAGCCCCCTCCCCATTCCTGTATTCAGATCGCAGAGGCGACTGTGCTGGGTGCATGGGGAGGAGGTTCTGGTGTAACGTGGGATCAGTTTCCAGTCTCCTCCGTGGTTCCCTGAAATTTGCAGGAGAACAAAACCCATCTGATGTTCTAAGTCAGGCTTCAAACTGAATGGGATGCCTGCAGCATCCAAATGGTGAACAGAATACGTGGGGCAACTCCCCCTCGGGGTGAGGAGACAGAGCTGGCCCTCCTGGAAGTCTAAGGCAGCGAGGTTCACCCCAAGAAGTACCAGAGTCCTCCAAACAAATATGCTCCAATAAAAGGGACAACCTGGAAGAAATGAGCGAATTCTTAGAAAGGTACAATCTTCCGAGACTGAACCAAGAAGAAATAGAGCATACGAACAGACCAATTATGAGCAATGAAGTTGAATCAGTAATTAAAACTCCCAACAAACAGAAGTCCGGGACCAGATGGCTTCACAGGTGAATTCTACAAAACATTTTGAGATTAGTTAACACCTATCCTCAAACTATTCCAAAAAATTGCAGCACAAGGAACACTTCTGAACTTGTTTTATGAGGTCAGCATCACCCGGATACCAAAACCAGACAAAGATATCACAAAAAGGAAGATTACAGGCCAATGTTCCTGATGAATATAGATGCATAAGTCCTCAACAAAATACTAACAAACTGAATCCAACAAGGATGAAAAGAATCATACACCATGATCAAGTGGGGCTTCCCTGGTAGCTCAGCTGGTAAAGAATCCGCCTGCAATGCGGGAGACCTGGGTTTGATCCCTGGGTTGGGAAGATCCCTGGAGAAGGAAATGCTACCCACTCCAGTATTCTTGGGATTCCCAGTGGCTCAGCTGGTAAAGAATCCACCTGCAATGTGGGAGACCTGGGTTCGATCCCTGGGTTGGGAACATCCCTGGAGAAGGAAATGCTACCCACTCCAGTATTCTGGCCTGGAGAATTCCATGGACTGTATAGTCCACGGGGTCTCAAAGAGTCAGACACAACTGAGTGACTCACTTTCACACCACAGTCAAGCGGGGCATATCCCAGGGATGCAAGGATTTTTCCATATCTGCAAATCAGTCAATGTGATATACCATATTAACAAATTGGAGAATAAAAACCATATGATTGTCTCAATAGGCCCAGAAAAAGCTTTTGCTAAAATTCAACATCCATTTGTGATAAAGTCTCTCCAGAAAGTGGGCATACAGGGAACTTACCTCAACATATACAAAAAACACACAGCTAACGGTATTCTGGATCATAGAAAAAACAAGGAAACTCCCCCCCAAAAATCTGCTTCATCGACTACTCTAAAGCCTTTGACTGTGTGGATCACAGAAATGGGAAAAGAGATGGGAACACCAGACCACCTGACCTGCCCCCTGAGAAACCTGTATGCAGGTCAGGAAGCAACAGTTAGAACCAGACAGGGAACAACAGACTGGTTCAAAATTGGGGAAAAGGAGAACGTCAAGGCTGTATATTGTCAACCTGCTTATTTACTTCTATGAAAAGTACATCATGAGAAACGCTGAGCTGGATGAATCACAAGCTGGAATCAAGATTGCTGAGAGAAATATCAGATATGCAGATGATAGCACTTTAATGACAGAAAGTGAACAGGAAGTCAAGAGCCTCTTGATGAAGGTGAAAGAGGAAAGTGGAAAAGCTGGCTTAAAACTTAACATTCAAAAACCTAAGATCATGGCATCCGGTCCTATCACTTCATGGCAAATAGATGGGGAGAAAGTGAAAACTAACAAATTCCTTTTCTTGGGCTCCAATAATACTGTGGATGGTGACTGCAGCCATGACATTAAAAGACGCTTGCTCCTTGGAAGAAAAGTTATGACCAACCTAGAAAGCGTATTAAAAAGCAGAGACAGCGCTTTGCTGACAACGGTCCATGTAGTCAAAGTTATGGCTTTTCCAATAGTCATGTAGGGATCTGAGAGTTGGACCTTAAAGAAGACTGAGTGATGAAGAACTGAAGCTTTTGAACTGTGGTGTTGGAGAAGACTCTTGTGAGTCCCTTGGACTGCAAGGAGATCAAACCAGTCCATCCTAAAGGAAATCAACCCTGAATATTCATTGGAAGGACTGATGCTGAAACTGAAGCTCCAGTACTTTGGCCACCTGATGCAAAGAGCTGACTCATTGAAAAGCCCCTGATGCTGGGAAAGATTGAGGGCAGGAGGAGAAGGGGACAACAGAGGATGAGATGGTTGGATGTCATCACTGACTCAATGGGCATGAATTTCAGCAAACTCAGGGAGATAGTAAAGGATAGGGAAGCCTGGTATGCTGCAGCTCATGGGGTCACAAAGAGGCAGACAGGACTTTGCAACAACAACGTCACACTCAATGGTGAAAGCTGAAAGTATTTCCTCTGAAATCTGGAACACCAAAAGAATGCTCATTCTTGCCACTTTCATTCAACACAGTATTGGAAGTCCTAGCCACAGCAGAGGAGAGAAAGAAATAAAAGTAATCCAAATTTGAAAGGAAGAAGTAAAACCGTCACTGTTTGCTGATACTATATAGAGATAGTATCTATGATACTACATAGAGAAAATCCTAAAGATGCCACCAGAAAACTACTAGAACTCATCGATGAATTTGGTAAAAAAAAAAAAAATATTGCATATAAATACAAAATTAATATCAGGAATCTGTTGCATTTTTATACACTAACAATGAACTATCAGAAAGAGGAACTAAGGAAGCAATCTCATTTATCATCACATCAAAAAAGATGAAATGCCTAAGAATAAACCTACCTGAGGAGGTAGAAGACCTGTACTTGGAAAATTATAAGACACTGATGAAAGGAATTGAAGACGATACAAAGAGGAGAAAAGACACACATGTTCTTGGACTGGAAGAATTATAATAATGCTGTTAAAGTGACTGTGCTCCCCAAGGCAATCTACAAATTCAATGCACTCTCTTTCAAAATACCAATCACATCTTTCACAGACCTAGAGAAAATATCTGTGAAGTTTATATGGACACAAAAGACCCTGAATAGCCAATCTTGAGAAAGAAGAACAGAACCAAAGAATCACTCCCTGACTTCAAACTATACTAGAAAGCTACAGGCGTCAAGACGGCATAGTACTGGCTCAGAAACACACACCAATTAATGTATCAAGGTAGAGAGCCCAGAAATATATCCATGCACTTAAACGGTCAGTTAATCTACAACAGAGGAGGCAAGAATTTACAATGGGGAAAAGACAATTTCTTCAGTCAGTGGTGCTGGGAAAACTTGACAGTTTCGTGAATGAATTTGGGACATCCACGAAGGCCAAATATAAAAATAAACTCAGAATGGATTACAGTCCTGAATGTAAGGCCAGATACTATGAAATTCGCAGAGGAAAATGCAGACAGAACATAAATTGTAGAAATAATTTTTTGGATTTGTCTCCAAAAGCAAAAATAAATAAGACCTGATTAAACTTATGAAACTTTTACACAGCAAGAAAGCTGCTGACAAAAATGAGAAGACAATCTAGTGAATGAGAGGAAATATTTCCAAATGATTTGACAGATAAGGGATTAATATCCAGCTTATATAAGTAGCTCATACAACTCAACATCAGAAACAAACAAAAAACAACCCAATTAAAAAATGGGCAGAAGAAATGAATAGACATTTTTCCAAATAGGAAATGCAGAAAGATGGCCAACAGGCATATGAAAGATGCTCCACATCACTAATCATCAGAGAGATGAAAATTAAAACCACAGTGATCTATCACCTCACATCTGTCAGACGGCTGTCATCAAAAACACCACAAGTGACAAATGTTAGTGAGGATGTGGAGAAAAAAAACTCATACACGGTGGGAATGCAAATTGGTGCAGACACTGTGGAAAACAGTATGGAGTTTTCTTTAAAAACTGAAAAGAGAACTATCGTATGATCCAGTAATTCCACTTCTAGGTATATACACACACACACACACACACACACACACATATATATGTATGTATGTATGTATATGTATCTGAAAAAAACCCAAAAGCACTAATGGGAAAAGGTACACACAGCTCAATGTTCTTAGCAGCATTATTTACAGTTGTCAAGATAGAGAAGCAAAGTGTCCGGCGCCGGCAGGTGAAAGGGTAGAGAGGATACGGGACGCACACGGGAATGTTAGTCAGCCACAGAAAAGCGTGACACGGTGCCGTCTGCAGCCATCTGGGCGGACTGGGAGGGCGTCATGCTAAACACACCGAGTCAGACGGAGAAAGGCAAACACCGTGTGACATCACTTACATGCGGGAGTTAAAAGTGCAACAAGCTGCTGACTATAACACAAAAGAAGCAGACCCGGATACAGAGAACAAGCTATGGCTTGCAGAGGGGAAAGGAAGGAGGAAGGGACAAGAGAGGAGTCGTGGATTACGGGACCCCTAGGTTCAAAGCAAGCACCAAGGGCAGAGTGGGCCATCTGGTCAGTGTTTTATAATAGCTATTAATGGACTATTACATTTGAACTTGTGAATCACCATGTTGTACACTTATGACTTACACCATATTTTACAGCAAATATATTTCAGTTTTTAAAAATGTACCAGAGAATGGATGCATGTGTACGAGTGGCTGAGTCTCTCTGCTGTCCGCCTGAAACCATCACACAGGGTCCCGTGAGTGTTCGGCTGACCAAGCCCTGTCTCTGAGACGATGCCCAGCGCCTAGGGAGCTAACTGTCTAAAGAAACCAGGTCACACACTGCTGGCCTCACAAGTGGACAGGAAAGGTGCTACCTGACCGGCAGCCAGTGAGGAGTTTGGGGCATGAAAAAAGTGATAAAATATGGCACATATGAAAAGAAAAAAATAATCAGTCAAAATCGACCCAAAACAGACATTGATTCTAGAACTAGTAGAAGACTTTAAAATAGTTACTATAACTGTATGTTCATGTCTGTTCATAACCAAGTGTTCAACAGGTTATGTATAGACAGATTTTTTAAAAAACCCAAATCAAACTTATGGAGATTAAAACTACAGTAATACATAAGCAACATTCACATAATTCCCCCCAAAAGAGGCAGAAAAAGAAGAAAAATAAAAACAACCCATGGGACAGAAAGAAAAGTAGATTTAAGCCTAATAATTTTCAGTACTCACAGTAAATATAAATGATCTAAATATCCCAGTTAAAAGGTAGTGATTTTCAGATTAGATGGTTTTAAAAAGTGAGAATTATGTACTGCCTACAAGAAATGTTTTAAATATAAAGATACAAATAGGCTTAAAAGGATGGAAAAATATGTAAAACTAACACTAATCAAAAAGGAAAATGGAATGACTATATTAACATCAAAACAGACTTCAGAGCAAAGGATGTTATGAAGGACAAAGAAGGCTATAACAATCACTAAGAGATCAGTTTCTAAAGAGAAAAATGACAGTCCTATGTCATTATGTAACAGATGTTTGAAATACATAAAGGAAAAAAACGAAAAACGGCAAGGAGAAATATACAAATCCATGATTATAAAAGGAATTTTTACTATTCCTCCTTTAATACTTGATAGAACGGAAGTAGATAGAATCAATAAGGATATAGAAGATCTAAATAACATTCTCAGCCAGCTTTACCTGTCTTGACATTCCACCCCAAAGCAGCAGGTAAACATTCTTCTTAAGTGTACCTGGAACATTTGCCAAGATAGACCAAATTCTGTGTGATAAAACTACCTTAGATTCAAGTCATACAAAGTATGTTCTGTGATGCACTGAAATTAATTAAACGTCAAGAACTTCTAGAAATATTTCTGGAAAAGTCCCCAAATATTTGGAAAATACATAATGTTTCTAAACCTGTGTGAAAGAGGAAATCAAAGTCTTTTCAACTGAACAGTTAAAACACTGCATATCAAAAATTTGTGGAATGCTACTTAAGGGACATGTGAGGGACATTTTAAGGCTCAAGATACCAGTAATATTTAGAAAGGAGAAATGTTCTCAAATCAGTGAGCTTAAATTTCACCTTAAGAAACAAGTTTCGGGTTCTTTTTTTCTTTAAGAAGAACAAATTAAGCCCAAAGTAAGTGGAAGAAAGGAAACATGAATATCAGAGTGGAAATCAATGAAACAGAAAATGGAGAAAATAAACTAAAACCCAGATCTTTTGAGAAGATTGATAAAAGTAATTATCCCTTAGACAGATTAATCCAGGGAAGAAAGAGAAAAGGCACAAATTCCCAACACCAAGAATGAAGGGATGATGTTTGGCCTCATTACAAATTAAAACCAGAATGACATATTTCTACACACCTATTAGGATGGCAGCAGTTAAAATGACTTAGATGGCATGTGCATTTGAACATGTGGAGGATCTGAAACTTTCAGAATGCGAACTGGTGTGTGACTACGCCGGGACACAGTTTAGCAGTTTCTGAAAAGGTTACACACGTACCTACCACACGCTCCAGGCTTTCCACTCCTAGGTATTTACCCAAGAGAAATGAAACCACGTCCACACAAAAACTTGTGCATGAGTGCACACAGCAGTGTGGTTGGTAATAGCTGAAGAGGGGAAGTAAACAACGCCCATCAGCTGATGAGTGGGCGTACAAACAGTAGTGTATTCGTAGAGTGGGATTCTGCTTGGAAGAAAAACGCCGTGAACAGTTGATACATGCAGCAACTTGGATGGATCTAAAATCTTTATGCTGAGTGAAAGAAGCCAGGCTAAAATCTGTACTGTGTGATTCCATCTGTATAAGATTCTGCAAAGTGCAGATGATTTCTTATTCATCAGGGGCTGCCTGGGAGTGGAGTCAGGAGGTAGGGTCAGGCCCCGAGACCTAGGCCAGTTACCTCGCTGAGGACAGTCCCCCTAGAGCCCTTTCCGGAGCTCCTGACCCCTGCCAGCCCCCCTCCCATCACAGCCTGGATGCCTCCTCAGCCTGCAGCCTCTCACTTCAGCGAGCGTGGGGCGGGCGTTGCCTCTCCCATCCCTGCCACCGCTCGCCACTCTGATTTCTGTCTTGTCAAAGGACGGCCACGGGCACAGTTGTCCTGCAACCTTCCGTTAGGCCCCAGCCCACAGGGCGACGTGAGTCCACCCGGGGTGTGCTGGCCACTGACCCAGGCCAGCCTCGCCCGTGAGGGGCCGACGGGGGCCACAGACCACGTCCCCGCGCAGCCCTCCAGCTTGAGGATGTCCGACTCCTCCCCCGCTGGGCCTGAGTGCTGCTCTTCCGCTCCTTTTATCGGCAGACCGAGAAGGCTGGCCTCCCCTGAGATGCCAGTGTTAGCTCTGAAATCATCCGCAGGGCCGGGGACACCCCGATGTCAGGCCGAGCACCTCCCCGCGCCCGCTGCCGGGGTCTGCGACCACAGGTGATGCCTTCCCAGCTCGTTTGAGCTGAGCCTGCCCCTCGCAGTCAGCCCGCACGGAGCCTTCTCCGCTGGATCTTTTTCTTAATCATCTGCTCAGTGGGTGTCTTACTTGACATGTAATTGTCTTCCTAGGGAAAATTCATTCCCGGGGCCTTGAATGGTCTTTATGAAACTCAAGAGGGTGGTGAACCCCAGCCCTGCCGCTGGGCCAGGGGAGCCCCGGAGCCCCGCCCGTGGGAGCTCTAGAGGAGCCCCAGGCTGCGTCCCGCCAGGCCCCCCTTCTAGAGGGAGACTCAAGAGTGGCTCCTGCGATGTCTGAGGAGCGGGCCGGCTGCGGGCCCAGAAGCCTGGTTTTGTGGTCCGGAGGTGTCCAGTGATGGCCCTGTGGCCTTGTCGCTGTCTGAGCTCCGGGGTCTAGGCTGCAGAGTGGAGGCGGTCGGGGACCCAGGAGCTGGGCTCCCCCCAGGGTCTGTGCTGAGCCCTAGCACCCGGGGCGTCGGGCAGTACCTACTGGACTTGGTGAGGGGCCACCCTGAGCTCTGCGCGGGGCGCTGCCTGCTTCTCTGTTCCCATCCCTCCCCGCCTCTCAGAGGCCCCCTTCCCGCCTCCCTGCCTCCCTCTGAACAGTCAGCCCTTCCCCACTGAGCAGCCAGAGGGGCCCTGATGAGACCCAGCCAGCCCAGGCCCCGCCTGTCTGACTCCTGCCCACTCACAGCAGAGACAGGGTCCTTGCAGCAACCCTCACGACACACCCCATTGTGTCCTGGCCCCCGATCCCAGCCAGCCTCACCCGTGAGGGGCCGATGGGGGCCACAGACCTCGTCTCCACGCAGCACCCGGGTGGACGGGCCATCTGCCCACCGTCTGTCTGGCCTCAGCCGTCCCTGGGCTCCCTGTCGCTCACTGGGCTCCAGGCAAGCTCTTGCCCCAGGGCCTTTGCACTGGCCGAGCCCACAGCCTGGCTCACCCTTCTGCGGGATGCTGTGTGGCTCCCTCACCTGCTTCAGGCCTTCGTACCATCAGCCTCCTCTCACCAAGGCCGCCCCCCGGGCAGCCCGCTGCATTTGCAGGCTGGCCCCTTCTCCGGGGCGCAGTTGCTGTTCGCAGCATGCCACCCCCTCTCAGGTCCGGCAGACTGCCATCTCCCCGCTGGAAGAGGAGGGCCCGGCCCAGGGCGGGCGCCGGGAGCTCCTGCTGCCCCTGGGTGGCCCGCGTCGTTGGCACCCAGCTTGCAGAGGCCGGGCCTTCAGTTTAGATGGAGGTCCCCTTTCAGCCTCGGTCACCCCAGTGGTCCCCTGAGCCCAAGGGGGCCGCAGGTCTGGAGGGCTGCTCACCACCAGTTCTCGGGGCAGCCCTGGCCCCTCCGTGTCTCAGCTGGGAGCTGGGCAGGCCTGGCCCAGCGCCCGTCCTGACCGCACCCCCTCATCCGGTGTTGGCGGAGCAGGGCGCCTCCCTCCTGTGGGCCCAGAGCTGCTAGCCCCCGTCTCTTTCCCCAAACCAGGCCCCCAGGCCCCCAAACCTGCCATCTTCCGGAGGCAAAATCAGCCGGCCGGGCTGGTGCCCTGTCCTCTCAGGGCTGGCCTTGGTCCCCTTGGGGCCTGGCTGCCCGAGACCTTGGCACACGTTGGGCGCATCACAGGTGCAGGTCTCTGCTCAGGGCCACCGCCCCCCAGGGCAGCGAGCGCCTGTGCTCACGGGCCAGCAGGAAGGTCCCCGTGGCCCCAAACTCCACCCTGGACTCAGTCGTTCAGCCACGTCATCACCCGCCCATCCATCACCTGTCCACCTGTCCATTCAGCAGTCACCAAGCAGCTGTCCGTGCCGGCCCTGCCCTGTGCTGCGTGCTCGCAACAGCCCAGAAGCCCGGCCTCCGTGGGGCTGGCCGTTCCTCTCCCAGCCCTGGGCACCTCCTCTGTGAAATGAGAAACTGGCGTCCCTTCCCCGGGAGGCTGTGAGGAGTCCGGGAGACCGGTGTCTCCCGGGGATCAGCAAACTTGTTCTGATTTAGGCTTCACAGGCCACTCTGTCCCGCCGCTGTCTCCGCTGTAGACAAAATGTACGTGTCACTTACAGCAACAGAGGGCGGCTGGACGTGGTGGGCGGCCGTGGCCTGCTGACCCCTGGTGTAGGGTCTGTGGTGGCTTCAGGGTAAGGGGCAGCTGGTGCCGCGATCGTGACCAAGGATGACAGTGATCGTGGGGAGGTGCTGTCATCCTCTGGGGATGAAGGCTGTGCTCCAGGGGCCGCCAGGTTCTGGGGGTACACAGGCCGGAGGTGAGAGTCAGACGAAACTGCCTTCTGTTTAAATCTGCGTAAGCCACGTTTCCGCTGGCGTTCCCCGGGTCTACGTGTAACCCCTAAGTTGGTGGGGTACGTGCTCCAAGAGAGGAGAGCTAGGATTTAACCGGTGACCGAGGTCTGCCCGGAGCCCCGTAGAGGCGGCTGGTTTCACGGCAGTTTGAAGGAAGCCTGGGCTGTGCCCCCGGGGCCCCGGGGTCTCCTGGACCTGCTTCCTTGCCTGCAGGGCTCCTCGCTGGCCCTGTGTTCGCTCGTTCCCCGGAGCTCCGAGATCCCTCTGCTCAGGGCCCTGCCCAACCCCATCTTAGATCACACTGTATGATTTTCCTAATTAAACGCCTCCTCCCTCTAAACTACAGCAGCTCCTCCTCCGGGAAGGGAAGGGGAAGAATTGGCATTAGCAGAATGTGTGCCGTGTGCGGCCTTGGGAGGCACGCGTAGAACCCAGGGAGGCCCCGTGCCTGCCTGAGTGTGCACAGCATATGAGCCACGGAGCTGGGATTGAGGAGAGGGCCCGCCTGCCCACGGAGCTGGGACTGAGGAGAGGGCCCTCCTGCCCTCCCCCGGGAGAGGGCCGGCCGGGATCGGATAGACCTGGGTGGTGAGAGTCGCTCTCCTGCCTTCCCCAGGGAGAGGGACGGCTGGGATTGGAGAGAGGGCCCTCCCGCCATCCCCAGGAGAGGGCTGGCTGGGATTGGAGAGACCTGGGTGGTGACAGTTGCTCTCCCGACGCCTCAGTTTGCTCACCTGTGAAGTGGACGCGGTGACAGTCACCACCTCACAGGGCAGCCATGGATTCTGTGAGGCTGGGAGGGAGTTGGGAGAGAAGGACAGAACCCCAGCCTGTCTCTCGGGGCCCTGAAGGCCCCTGCTGCTGCAGAGAGCCCGGCCGGCCCCGCGCACACCCCGGCCCCTGAGCTGGAGGGGCTGGCGGCCGGGGTGTGCAGGGAATGCCTTCCCAGGAGCGTGCCTCCGGGGCCAGAAACAGCGCAGAGCCTTCCCAAGGGAGCCGGGGGCTGCTGGGCTGGGTCGCTCTCCACCCCGAGTCCTGGGGCGCAGAGCCTCCCAAGGGAGCCGAGGGCTGCTGGGCTGGGTCGCTCTCCACCCCGAGTCCTGGGGCGCAGAGCCTCCCAAGGGAGCCGAGGGCTGCTGGGCTGGGTCGCTCTCCACCCCGAGTCCTGGGGCGCAGAGCCTCCCAAGGGAGCCGGGGGCTGCTGGGCTGGGTCGCTCTCCACCCCGAGTCCTGGGGCGCAGAGCCTCCCAAGGGAGCCGGGGGCTGCTGGGCTGGGTCGCTCTCCACCCCGAGTCCTGGGGCGCCTCCCAGGCAGGGCTGCAGAGACTGGGGGGCTGTGCGCAGCCGGTGGGGTGGGGCGCAGATGACCCTGGGTGCTCAGAGGGGCCAACGGCAGGGCTGGGCTGCCCCTGGGAACCAGAGCCGGGCTCTGGGCCCACCCTTCGTCCCCCAGCCCCTCATCAGCTCCATCGTCGCCCACCATGAGCGATGGATCCGTGGCCACTCCCATTCTGCGCTGACCTTCTGCACAGCCCGCCTGGGAGGTGCTCTCCACCCGGGGTCCGGAAACCGCCGCCACAGCCAGCCCCCTGGCTGCTGTTTCCTTCCTTTCGTGAGAGGTTTTGACCCTTTATTTCCTAATAAGTGTCAGTTGCTGGGAAAAAACCCAGAACTGTATTAGTCTTCCTTAAACCTGGCTTTGTGGTTTATCTCTGCTTTGAATTATGAAAGTGAAATGCTTCCCTGATAGCTCAGCTGGTGAAGGATCTACTTGCAATGCAGGAGACCCCAGTTCAATTCCCAGGTCGGGAAGATCCCCCGGAGAAGGGATAGGCTACGCTCTCCAGTATTCTTGGGCTTCCCTGATAGCTCAGCTGGTGAATGGGGGAGACCTGGGTTCGACCCCTGGGTCGGGAAGACCCCTGGAGAGTGGGAAGGCTGCCCACCCCAGTGTTCTGGCCTGGAGAACTCCATGGACTGCACAGTCCGTGGGGTTGCAAAGAGTCGGACGCGACTGAGCGAGTCTCACCTCACTGCTTTAAATTCTAAACGGACCTGCCGTATGGTGATGATCTCCAGGCGTCCTAGACGAACCCTGTTCACGGTTCAAACCCCGCAGCCAGCTCCCTCTCTCTGCCTCCATCACCATGGAACTGTGTTTAAAAGTCTGTTTCTCATATTATCGGCAGAATCAAGTTTACAGCTAAGGAATCTTTAGCGTTGAGCCCCGCAGGTCCCTGGGTCCCTTCTAAGGAGGCGCTGGAGGGGTCAGACTGTGCAGGCTCACGCTTCTTATTTTTGCTTACTTTTTCATTGGGAAAATCAGCATAATGTAAAATCTATCCTTGGGCCCATTTAACATGTACGCGTCAGCGGCTTCCAGAGCGCTCACACACCGGTGCAGTCCACCCCAGCGTCACCTCCAGAGCCTCCCATCTCCCCAGACTGACCCTCTGTCCCCGTGGAACACCCGCTTCCCAGGCCCTGGCCCCCACCGTTTACTTTCCGTCTCTGTGAACACGACTCCTCCAGGGACGCTGCATGAGTGGAATCACACTCTGCTTGTCCTTTGTGACCAGCTTTTTTCATTGAGCATCACATCCCCACGGTCCCCATGTAGCAGCAGGAGTCAGAATGTCCTGCCTTTAAGGCTGCATGACGCTCTGCTGTTTGGATGGGCCACGCTTTGTTAATCGATCACGCGTTGAAGGTCTTTTGGGTCATCTCCACGTTTTAGCTGCCGTGAGTATTCGTACATGGGTGTACGTATATCTGTGATTGTCTCTACGTTTTAGCTGCTGTGAGCATTTGTACGTGGGTGCGCGTGCATCTCTCTGAGACCTATCTCCGCCTCTCGCAGTGTATACCCACAGTGGGGTTGCTGGGTGTAGGTGAGCTTTCTCACTTGCTGAGCAGCCCCCACACCATGTCCGGGAGCAGCTGCACCACTGTACATCCGCACCAACAGTGCACACGTGTTCCGATCTCTCCACATCCTCACCAACACTTCTGGTTTGCTTGTTTGTGGGTTTTGTGGGGTTTTGACAGCGGTCAGCGTAAGGCAGTGAAGTCGTATCTCAGTGAGGCTTTGATGTGAGTCTCCGTCAGCTGAGCATCTTGTCTTATGGGTGCTGGTCATCTGTGAATCAGCTCAAGCCCTTGGCCAATTTTGAGCTGGATTATTTGGCCTTTTCTTGTTGAGTTTTAGTTCTTTATGTGTCCGGATGTTGAGTACCACTGGACCCCTCGTTCACCCCGAGGACCCTCATCCCTTCCCTGAGGGCCCTTTCCCTTGGCACGGGAAACGCTGCGAGGCTGGGGTGGGATGCAGGCGGCGGGCGCTGGGGGCTCCCCCGCACCAGGCATTTGCCCGTCAGCTTCTGACTTGAGGGAAAGTGGGCAGCAGCTCCGGGCAGGCGTGCAGATGTCCCGTGAGTGGGGCAGGTAGCAGACCCTTCCTTGGGGGGGAGGGAAGAATGGATGGCGTTGGAGGGGTCCCCATGGCCCAGGTGCTCAGCAGGAGCCTGAGATGAGAGCGGCTCCCACCTGGGGCAGGGTGCAGCTGTGTGGCCCGGGGCCAGGGCAGGTTTACTCAGTCACTCCAAGCAGAGGGAACAGCATGGGCGGAGGGAACAGCATGTGTGAAGGGAACAGCATGGGCGGAGGGAACAGCATGTGTGAAGGGAACAGCATGGGCGGAGGGAACAGCATGTGTGGAGGCGCGGCTGGTGCAGGGCACAGCGGGGAGGGGAGGAGCTGGGCAGGTGGAGGGGACAGCAAGGCTGTCCAGTGCAAAGGCTGGGGACCTTGCAAAGACCAAAGTCACTCTGCGTGTTAGGCGGCTCAGGCTCCATGACAGAGTCCCCCAGGCCGGCGGCTTCCGCAGCGGCAGCTCATTTCTCCCAGCGGTGGAGGCTGGGTGCCGGGGCAGAGGCGCTGGCCGGGGCAGGGTCTGGTGGGAGCTCTGTCTGTGCCTGCGGGTGGCCACCTTCCTGCCGTGTGGACGCGGGAGAGGGAGAAGTCTGAGTTCTGGCCTCTGCTTGTCTTCTTCTAGGGACGCCAGTCCCCTGGGGGCTCCACCCCCGACCCCCTCTCACCTGACCGCCTCCCGGAGGCCCACCCGCACCCCCACCCCCGCGCACCGGGGACTGGGGCTCCGGCAAGGAATGCGGGGACAGCAGTGTCGGTCCATCACACTCAGCTCTCTTGAGCTGAAGGAGCGTCCCTGCGGGGGTCCGATGCCCACTGCCTCCTTGGGAAGTCTGCGGGCGCAGGCTCGGGGCAGGCTGTGCTGCGGAGCTGGGCGGGGTGGGGTGCCCCAGGCTCTGCCACAGTGAGGAAGGCGGGAGGGTGACATGGCTGGGGGCTGGGGAGCAAGGCCAGGACCCCCGGCCCTGGCTGCAGGGAAGGGGGTCTCCAGCCCGGCTGGGCAGGTGGGACTGGGGTCCCCTTTGGTTTGTTACTGCTTCCTGGTCTCCCCTCTTCGTGTCCCTCCAGCCCCCCGGTGTCTCCTTACGGGGTGGCGGCCGGGCACGGTCACTCCCCAGACCTGCCCTCACCCTTGTTTCCGGCGGGTCTCTGCTATGCCCTCTAAGACGGGTTCATGGGCATCGCCTCTCTACTTGGCGCCCGCCCCACCTCGAGGAAATCTCCAGACCTCGGTTGTGCATTGCAGGGATCTGGCAAGCTGCGAGGCTGGGGCAGCTGCCTCCCTCTGCTCGGGGTCCGGGGGCTCAGTGGCCCAGAAGGCCCCTGAGACGACGGGCTATCAGGCAGGGTTTTTGCGTTCAGGAGACAGAAACCAACTCTGGCTAAAACCTAGCCAAAGAGAGTCAGAGCTGGGTCAGGGCAGAGGGAGGCGCGCACGGGCGGGGCTGGGCCAGGCGTAGGCCCGTGGGAGCCAGGGCCAGGCAGCTTGGTGAGGCCGTGGAGCGGATCCCCGTGGACACACTTGTTGGACACCCTTTTGGAATCACCCACCTGCTGTTGTGTGGTTTTTTTCCCTTAATTCATTGTAATTGTAATTTAAGTGTAATTTATTGTAATTGAAGTGGATTTACAGCGTGGTATTAATTTCTGCTGTACAGTGCAGAATTGTTATACATATACGGCATTCTTCTTCATATTGTTTCTCCTCATGGTTTATCGCGGAATGTTGAATGTAGTTCCCTGGGCTGTACAGTCGGACCTTGTTTATCCATCTGCTAATCCCACACTTCCAGTCCTTCTCTTCCCCACCCCACCCCCTTGGCAACCACCAGCCTCTTCTCTCTGTGAGTCTGTTTTGTAGTTAAGTTCATGCGTGCCATAGTTTAGATTCCTCATGTAAGTGATACCACCTATTTGTCTTTCTCTGTGTGACTCAGTATGATCTCCAGGTCCGTCCACGTTGCTACAAATGGCATGTGTTGTTCTTTTAAATGACTGAGTAATATTCCACTGTGTATGTGCATCACGTTTTCTTTATCCATCATCTGCTAATGGAAACTCAGGTTGTTCCCATGTCTTACTTATTGTGAATAATGCTGCTATGAACACAGCATGAATCTTGTTGAATTATAACTTTGTCTGGATATATGCCCAGGAGTGGGGTTGCTGGGTCATATAGCAGTTATATTTTTAGTTCCTTGAGGAACCGGCATACTGTTTTCCATGGTGGATGTACCAATTTACGTTTCTATGGGGTATATTTTACATTTCTATGGGGTATATTTTAGATTAAAAAATATTCCAAACCTAGGGAAAAGAAAACTAACCATCTATATGGTACATAACACTTCCTATCTGCCTGGAACCATTCTAAAGCATGTAATATGAACAGAAATTCCTCAAATGCTTGTAACGACCCCTTGGGGCGGGTGCAGTGTTTTCAGGTCAGGAAACAGAGGCACCGGGCGGCTGCCCAGGGGCCTGGGGGTCGGGGGTGGACAGCCCCGTGGGCCCCCACAGCCACCATCCAGATGTGCTGGCGTTTATCTGTATTTTGCCTCAAGAGGAGGGAGGGGAGGATGGAGAGGAAGCTGCCCTGTGCCCCCCCGGGGTGGGTGGTCTCCTGCGGAAGTCTGCACGGAGCCCAGGGCACCGAGGGCCCTGGCGGACCCTGTATGAGCCCTCCCCCACCACCCGCGCTCTGGACGTGCCCTCCCGGGGTTGCTGTCTGGAGGTCGGCATCGGAGGTCAGGACCCCAGAAGGATGTGCTGTCTGTGGGATCCCCGAGCTTGGAGGAGCCCGCGGCCTCCCCGCCCACATCCGCCATCCCTCCCGGTTCCCTTCCGAGCACCTTCCCCCAAAGCTGTCCCCTGCGGGTCCCTCCCCGCCACCCCAGAGCACCCCCCTCAGAGCAGCGGGGCTCTGAGATCTGCAGGCCATGCCTCTTTTGTGAGATAAGTCCAGACCCGATCACAGGGCGCTTCTCTGTCTGCAGCCTGCCCTGCGTGAGTGCCCGTGGCATTTTCTGCAGCTCTATCCACGCAGAGAAGACTGGACCAGCAAGGGAGCCTGGCTTCTCTGCCTGGGAGCCAGGCAGGTCCGGACTCCAGAGTCAGGGGGACAGGCCAGTCCCACCCGAGCTAGGGAGGGCGCTTCCCACCAAGACTGGCTCGCAGTGGCATGGGGTGATGCCCTCACGCGAGACGGGAGCTGGGTGTGCGAGGCTGGAAAGCGGGCAGGACCGTGCTCACTGTGGCCCGGAGCACTGTGTGGGCACTCGTGTCGAGTCTCCCCAAGTGTCCATGGGCTTTGGCCGTAATCCTGCCTCTGGGCAGGCTGCTGAGAGAACTCATAGATTAAAAACAGGGACTGCCCTCCACGGAGCTTATGATGCAAAACACCCGGGAACATTGCCCTCTGAAGGTAAAGGTTTCACTTCCTGCCTGACACCGCAGCCACGCACATGCGTGCCCCAGGGTCCTTGATGGGCTGCCCTGGCGGCCCAGTGGTTAAGAATCTGCCTGGCAATTCTGGAGACTCAGGTTTGATCCCTGGTCTGGGAACTCAGATCCCACATGCCCGGGGTAACTCGAAGCCCACGCTCTGCGGCTGGAGAACCCGTGGCTGGGGTCTTCGCCAGCCGGCCGTGAACCAGGACTCCACCACCATGTCCATGCCCAGCAGATCCCAGAGTGTCGGCCCGTCAGCCCGGGGTTATGGGGCCAGCGGTGGGCAGCAGAGTCCTCAGGCCCGAGTGGAAGACCTGCCCACACCAGGCCGAGGGACTCCGCCGAGCCAGAGGCACTGTGGCACCAGCAGACGTGCCGGTTGCCGGACGCGAGTTCCAGCTCAGATCCGAGTCAGGCCCTGGTCCTAACCCCAGCGGCGCCTCTCACCGGCTGTGTGCCCTTCGGCAAGTGACTTAACCTCTCTGAGCCCATTTAGTTTCTTCGGGCATAAACGGGAGATGAGGCGTACCTGAATTGGTTGCTGGGAAGGATGGACACGGGGGAAGCATCCAACGTGCTGGCCGCGTGGTAGGCACTCAGCTAATCGTAGCGGCCACGGGGATGGCGGTCACGGGGGTGACGTCCACTGCCTTTACTTACCTGGGTGGGATCTAGAGGGTCTGGAGCTCAAGGTGACAGTCGGTGGGAACTGGCTCTATTTTTCTCTGCTCATGCTTTGATTGGCCCCAGCTTGACCTTTCAGCCCCAGGGTGACCATCTTTCAGTACCTGCTGGGGGTGGGCGGAGGCCCTGGGCCTCTGTCTGGGGGTCACCTAAGCCATCTTACCCCTTCTCCACAGGGAAAAGTCTCCGGCGACGAGCCAGCCATGGGTCTGCTGACTTTGTGGCATTTTACACGTTTGTTGTGACTTTGGGTTGGCATTTCATTAAGATTTAAGCGTTTCCATAAAACCACCCAGATCATTTACTCTCTTCATCATTCTGGCTGACTCTGCACGGTTGGGGGGTTTCATGGGCCCTGGAGCTGGCGTGTGGCGTCCCTTCTCACACCGGCTTGAAATGCTGTGGGAGGTGATGTGTCCTTAGGGTTTCCAGCCTGTGACCTCCAAGACGTCTAGCGTCTGGAGACGGGTGACCACCACAGTGTTCGTTCAGTCACTGGTTTCATAAACGCAGCACGCACGTGCTCAGAGCTCGGCCTCGTGAGGACCCACAGGGATAAAATGGGCGGCGGGGAGCTCCTGGAGACCCCTGCAGCCCTGCCATGCGTGTTGGGGGGTGGCTGAAGCGTTTGCCCCTCCAGGCAGACCCAGTGTTGTCCGGGCCAGCATGTGGTGGAGGCCAAAGGTGAGGGGTGAATGGGAGGGCCTGTGATGACCCCTGCGCCTGGGGTCCCTGAGAGCAGCTGAGTCCAGAGCCAGGGCTGAGGCGGGTGGGGGAGGGAGAGGAGGAGGGGGACCCGGGGCTGAGCTCTGGCCCCCGGGGGGCAGCTTCTGCCTGGATGCTGGGTCAGCTGTGTGTGCGTGCTAAGACGCCTCAATCGTGTCCGACTCTGTGCGACCCCATGGACTGTAGCCCGCCAGCCAGGCTCCTCTGTCCGTGGGATTCTCCAGGCAAGAATACCGGAGTGGGTTGCCGTTTCTTCCTCCAGGGGACCTTCCTGACCCTGGGATAGAACCCGCGTCTCTTACGTCTCCTGCACTGGCAAGCGGGTTCTTTACCACTGGCGCCACCTGGGAAGCCGGGTCAGCTGAAATCCACTTACTTTCTACAAGGTTTTAAGACTTCACGTAAGAACGAAATCACGGCTCTGAACCCACCCTGTAGACTGCAGAGAGCCTGGATCTGAGGGTGAGGGCGTTCGGCATGGACTCCGGGGGCCCCAGCGAGGGCCCCTGGTGAGCAGTCAGCAGCAGGCTTGCCCTCAGGGCCCCCAGAGGACGTGCCCCTTCCCTCCCTTCCTCCCCAGCCTGCTGTGGTCCAGGCCTGCCCCGCAGACTGGCCGCATATGCTGTGTCTCAAAGAAAGCAGAGAGCGCAGCAGTCACTCGTTGATCCGCTCGACAAACACGTCCACATGACGAGTGTGTGTCGTGAAGCTACACGGGGCACGGGGCGCAGTGCCGGCCCTTAGGTGGGGGCGGGGAGCAGAGAGGGGAGGGTGACTGATGCCCACGGGCAATGGCAGACCCCGTCCTGCCTCCCCCGCACCAGCTGTGTGCCCACGGGCAGGTCACGCTACCTCTCTGGGCCGCAGTATTCCCACCTAGAAAACGGAGATACCTGCGGTGCCCCGCGGGGATCGCCGTGAGGACTGAAGATGCAGTGGGACCCGTAGGACAACGCCCGGCACGAAAGGAGAGCTCCTACTGCGCGTGTAGCGAGGATTTGCCAAGCACCTACTGTGTGCGGGGCACTGTGGATGCAGCATTGATGGAGGCGGGCCGCTGCTCCTGCCCCCGTGGGGTGGGAGGCCCTCCTGGGGCCACCCCCCTTTCCTGGCTGCAGCCGCTGGCCCCCAGGGACCCCTGCCAGCCAGACCCCCGCTCTTCTGCGGCCTGGAGGGCTTTTACAGAGTGCCGGCCCTGCAAGCCGCGCCGGCCACCGCCCAGGCCTCTCTGGTTCTTGGCTCTGTCTCGGGGGACCCGGCCCTCCCCAGGTTCATGGTCAGGCCCGCGGTGGGGGAACGATGACCCGGCAGCTTTAAACACACCTGCAGCTCCCCTGAGGCTCCAGCCTCGTGGTCCTCGGCCCGCAGACATGGCCTGGGGCGGGTGATCTATGGGCGTCCTGGGTGTGTGGGAGGGGGTTAATTAAAAAGGTGTCTGGGAGATGAATTTCTGGAAACAAAAATTGGAAACCAGTGGAGCTATTGATCCACTTAATGGGAAGCTGATGGTATCGGAGCAAGCAGACAGCTCTGGCTTGGGGCGATCGATCCCACGCCTTCCACAAGCCAACCTGGGTGTGGGGGGTGGACACGGCGGGCTGGGAGGGGCCCCCGCCCCCCTCAGGGCCCCACACTGACTCTGGGCCCCAGCAGGGGAGGAAGAGGAGCTTGTGCTGGGGTCAGAGCCCCCTTGGACATTGCCCCCGGGGAACCCCCTTACTGGATAAGGTGACGAACCTCTTCATGCCTCCTCCTCGGCTGGGACTCCTGACCCCGGCGGCACCGTGGGGTCACACGTGATCGAAGTTGAGCAGAAGAAGCCGTGTCCTCAGCTCTGCAGCTCTGGACGTGCCCGGCCCGCTCCAAACCCAGGCCCTCCTGGGCTCACGTTTAGTGGTGGGACGGACCACAGAGCATTTAGTCCGTTTCTCAGATGCGTAACTGAGGCTCAGGGAGGCTGGCCACGGGCCCCATCCCTCAGCCCCGCTCGGGCAGTGAGACATGGGTGCCTCGCACTGGGGTCCCCTGGGGTCCGAGCAGGGCTGCGTGGGCCCCAGGCTGGCTTGCCCGCCTCTGGGGGCTCAGGATGGACTCTTCTGGAGCGGGTCCCGCCCGCCCTGGGCCTAGGCGCCTCAAGGCCTGGGCAGGGCTTGTGAAGTGCCAGCTGGCGATGGGCTCCATGCCCACGCACCCCTGCCCTCCCCAGGATTCATCCTGGAAGCACGTCCTTGTGAAGGGCTCTCCTGGGATCTGCGTGGGCAAGGTGGCCTGTCAGTCCGTCTTTGACCCTGGACTTTATAAGGGTTCGTCTCTGAAACACTCAATTGGAAGACGGGCTCCAGACTTTTATCTCCAGCCCATAGTGCCGCCCCTCCACGGCTCCCCTCCGTGGCCCCCGAACTTTGGGCCCCTACATCAGCGCCTCCTCAGGCACAACCGTTCCCCACACACACCGGGACCCCAGCTCCCAGTCCCCGGTCACCGTCCTGCCTTCTCAGCCCCCAGGGGAGCTCTGAGAAGCACAAGCCACATTAAGTCAGGTGCTTGAAACCCACCTTCAGCTTCCCACCGCATTAGGTGTAAAACCCAGACCCCGCCAGGCACCTGCCTGCACCCCACACACCCCTGCCCCCCGACGCCTTCCCCAGACACTGCTCCCCGAGGCCCCCGCCCCGAGGTCCTCCCCCACGTCCTGCCCGAGCCCCCCGGATGCCCCCACTTCCCTCGCAGCTCTCTGAGCACCTGAGTGTCCTCCGGCCTCAGGGCCTCGGCACCGGCGTCTGCACCACGCCTACCCCAGGTCCTGGTCTGGCTGGAGCCTTGTTGCTCTTCGGGTCTCAGCTCCTGGGGGAGCACCCCCGGCCGCCCCCTCACCCCTCCGCAGCGCTTGGCGCCCTCTCGGGGGACTGTGAGTGGAGGGCTTCACCGTCTGCACCCACCCCCATGGCAGCAGGCAGTGCCTGTCCCACTCACCGCCCAATCCCAGGACCAAGGCCAGGGGTCACTCAACATTGGTAGAATTAACTGATGAACAAAACGTGAGGCCCCGCAGGAATCCAGCTGGAGAGGCGGCCTGACTGGCCCAGAATGCTGGGTTTACCAGCGCTCGCTGGCATGGTACCGGGCACTCACCCCACTCACCCCCAAGCCCTGACCCGAGGGGGGGGGCCTGGGCCCTGACCCAGCTCCAGCTCCGAGAGAGGCGGGGCTCTCGGAAGTCGGGGGGCTGGTCTATGCTGAGACCCCATCCTCTGGGGGGGAGCCCCTCACCTTGGGGAGCCATGCCCAGCAGGAGTCACCCCTCCTCCCAGAGGACGGACCGTGAGGACAAACCTTCAGCAGGCTGATGGGGAGAAGGGAAGGGTGTTCTGGGCAGAGGGAGCAGAAGGCGCAGGGGTCGGGCGAGCGCGGGATCAGGACAGCAGAGGCGGGAGCTGGCCGAGCCCCGCTCTGGAAGGAGGACCGTGCTCCTTGCCTGCTTCCCTCATCCCCGTCCCCCAGCTCAGGGCCCGGTGGCTCTGCATCCAGACCGCGGGCTGGGCAGGGAGTGCAATCTCCCTGGCTCTTGCCCCAGCCCTCCGGCCCCCTGCTGCTGCCTCCACCCCTCCCCTCGGTCAGCACAGGACACAGGGCCCCTTCCCGCCTCCCTGGGATGCCCCGGCCTCCCCCCGCCCTCGCCCTGTGCCAGCCACGCTGTGCTCCCGGCGCAGGGCCTTGGTGCCCCCTCCTTCTGCCCAGGAGGCTCCATGGCTTCTCCCCGCCCGCCTCCTCTGAGGCCCCTGCCCCCGTCTCAGTGGGTCACAGGCCCCCACCAGCCTTTCTGCTCCCAGAGCGCTGGCCCTTCTGACTCCCGCGCCGCCCGGCCGCGTAGCCCCCCAGACCCTAGCTTCGTCTTCTCTGCTGTCCCCGCAGTGCCAGAGAGACGGCTGCACGTCATACCTGCCCCATCCATGTCTGTCAAGTGAACGAAGAAACTCTGGGGTCTCCCGGGTCCCCTTACTCTACTGAGGCCCCCCTGAGGGTCAGGTGAGGCCGTGGGCCCCCTGGGGTGGGACAGGAGCTGGGCACCATCGCCCTGGGGTGCTCGGTCTGGGCCTCCAGAGGCTCCCCCAGGGCTCGGGGCCCTAAATGTCCAGGGCCCTCTGCGCCCGGGTGGGCCAATGGGCATCTCCCCCAGCACCCAGAGCTGG